CACAACTTTCATGTGCTCAAAAGCAAGGCTAAGATTATGCATGCTTGACTCTCGTACGAGCCGACCATCCTCATTTTTGTTTTTTTCCCACATACATCATACATCACCCACACATACGCCGACCACGTCTGATTGACTTTGAATCGCTACTGCTGAGGGAGGCGGTTGATAAAACGAGCAAACCGAACAACAGTATCAACCTGAAGAAGCAGCCTGTTTGGATAATAGTAGCTCTAGGATGACGCGCATACTATGCTGAAAACAGCCATGCTGCTCTATAATCTGGCTTTGACAATTTATTTTAAGCTGCCCACATCCATCATTGCGGGCTTGGAGGATCGGCAACCGATAATTGCCGTGGGCATATACTCGTATAAGAGAGCGGTTTTTATTTTCGTTACACACGCCACGACAGTTGATACAACAATGGCCGAGACTTTCTACAATGTCTCACTGATCCCATGAAGACGCTGGCTGCGGCGTTCAGCACATGTTTACTCCAAACAAAACCCAAACAAACAATTTATTGTTCAATATAAACAACATTGACCCGAACCCTGTACAGAGACCCTTTGATCATTGGTCTGACCTTTGCGCTATCCCAATCTAATACACGCCCAGTCATCCTGCTGATAAGATATTAACCAACTTGCATAACACTATCCGCTATCTCCCCCATCCCCCATCCCCTTCTTTCCTGATACTTTTCCTTTTTTGGATTATAATTCACCAATATAACTAGTAACAAGACAACCATTCCAAGTGCATCATCAGCCGTAAATAATCTTCAAGAGCTCACAAACGACGTCATATCACGTCAGCCCATTCGGGTTATAGCCGTTTATTGCTCTACAGATGTTGTTTACATGAACTGGATCATTCGAGTATAATGTTTCCGTGCTTTATGGTGGATACTGTCTAGTCCCTTTGAAACCTTTGACCGGTCTTTCTTTTCCATCCACAAATCAATAGCTTATGTCTGGCAAAAGAAAGGATCTTTCCAATCAATCGGCATCAATACAAGCAAGAAAACAACGCGCCATATCGAGCGATATTTAATGCAAGTTACTTATTCCCCCCCCCCAAAGTGGAGGGAAGCAGGCACAGAATAAAGGGACTTGAGAGAAAAAAGAAGTGCAGCAGTATATGTTTCGTCAGTGAACAAAAAAAAAGCATTGTAACTACGTGGTGTGCCGTTCATCTTGAGACAAGGTAATTATAACAGTGCATCTGTAAATCGTAAAGATCATTAAGAATGGGGAGCGGTAGCAAAATAACACAGGGAGAGCAAAAGCGCGACTTTATTTTCTTACTATTACGAGTTTGCATCTGCACTTTTATACTAACGGTAACTGTCAAAACCTGCTCAACTCAATTCTAATAGACACAATTATAACAGCGGCTCGAAATGAAGTTGGATTCTACGCGTGATGGATATCAGCGACGATGTATGCGTGAAATTGGCTCGGATCATCGGCAATGTGGATGCAGATATCGAGCTTCTGGTACTCGGAAAAAACATGTGCCCCCTTGGACGATCTTTGGTGCCCATGCTGGAGGTAGGAGCGATTTTGATGTCTATCGCTTTAAATAATTCTACATTTAAGCTGATATTTGTGAATAGAAAGAAGCAGATTCTATCATTGCTTATGGTTTTGAAGCCATTAAGCGTCTTAGAACCGCAATTGAAAGGCTGGAAAACGCGTTTGAACCGGAGAAGCTTGGTGAAAAGGCTTTGCTTAAGCTTAAAATGAAAGATGCCGAATTTTGTCTATATGAACAGCGCTATCAGCTGCGTCATATACGATTGGCATCTCAGTAGCGTAAAGTCATTATCGATTAGTAGTTCGTGAAAGCCTGTGCCAAAACTGAACAATTTTTATAGGATGCGCCGCTTGCCGCTCGTTGCCATTAAAAACAAGCAAACTATTGGAGAATGTGAGCTTTTCACCAAGTACTTTGATCCCATCTTGGCATCGCTATTCTCTGATCCTGACAGAAAAGTGCTCCTTCGCTGGTCCAACGTCATGTCTGATGAAAATGACAAGATCCGCCCTGACGCCACAATTTCCAAGCTACGGCAGCGCGACTTTGGGCCCAGTCTTGGATATGGAGAGGTCAAAGTTGCACGTCCCACCATCGATAACCACGTGCTATGCCACGATCTTATGCGTTTGGCAGCTCTAGCAAAGGATACCATTGATACCAATGCATTGGAAGCCGCTCTGACCTTCCAGGTGCATGGTTTTCATATCACTTTTTTTCTGACGCGCCTCCGCCACGATGGAATCTATGTGATGCAAGAAGTTGCGCAGCTTACATTTCCCCGGTTTTTAGAAGAGCTAGCAACATTTGTGTCCTTGAGAAATATGCGCACATTGATGACCCACCTTCTGGCGTTTGTGTCAACCTGTCCGTGCCGCTTCTTCGTGGCAAGAAAAACGGCGCCCCACTCATCTTTCCATTTATTCTTTGATTGATTCAACCATAAATTGCCACCGCTTCTGCGCCCTACGCTTTGAATAAATGCATCCATTCATATATATCTTCACATACTGCTGCCATCAATTCATTTCGTGTGAAGAATCCGAGCTTAATTGTTCAGATAAAATAAGAAAAAGTGAAAAAATCAAATTTGTAACTTTCTAGAAATGACCAGGTTGTAGGTTGTGAATTGATTGCATTATAAATATTTTTATACTGAGTTGCTATAGCAGGAGTGTCAGCGCTTGTAGTCTATGTGGTTATCCGAGTTTAGATTTATTCTATATCGCATTGATTCACAACGTAAAGTGTCTCATAAGCTGACTTGGGTTCAAGTACCTCACATCGATGGGTTCACCAACATTCATGCCTGAACCATGAAGACATTAATTATAGTGTGAAGTCTTTAATGTAATAAGGGACGATATCTGTGGGACACAATATCGTGTCAATGATGACCTGAGTTTTCAAAAGAAACGAGTGAGTCATTGCGCTACGTGCCACATATATTTGAATATGGTGGCACTCCAAAAACCCTCGCGATCAAAATTTCTAGTGTAGTTCGTATTTGATTACAAGGATCCGTGTATTTTGAGCATCAATCCGTAGATTAAGAACTTGTAAGGCATAGTCTTTAGCGATACTCGAGCTTGAATCGGGTCACACTGCAAGTTTGAGAATAGCTCACTATGAACGTCACTGTATAACTGTTTGGGATGTTCTTATTATTACTTTATATGTTCAAGTTGGTCAATGAAATAAAATAGTTGATTTTTGGAGCGTTGCATGGAACGCCTTCTCTTTTCCGAACATGAGATAACATACGCTCCAGATTTTATATTTTCGAAGTCATTGAAGGTTATTAAATGGATTCTATTGGATTTGAAGTCATTGAAGGGTATCGCATGTATTCTTTATTTCGACATTAAACCCAGCACTTGTAAAATGCACAACGAAGCCTCTGAAATGACTTTTCTCCATCCTGTTGTTACAGGCCTCTGTGATTCTTTTTTGACAACGTTTCTTCGTGCAAAAACCTGTGACGTTTAACCTTACTCTTTGCTACTGCTCAAAATTGTTCTATAGGGTTAAGCTCAGGAGAGTATATAGAAGATACACACATTTATAACCTTAATATTCAATATATGTCTCTATGTTTTCATGCGATTGAATGGGAGCAATATTCATGACTACACAGTTATCTTTCGTTTGTCCATTTGATCGAGAGTCTTTTTCAAGAAACTTACATAATGGGCTGTCAGACGTAAAGTTTCGCCAAAGCAATGCTTGTTCACAAGAGCTTGTATGATCCCTGCTAAAAACGGACGAAGTTAGTCGCTACGAGTAGAAAACATGATTATTTGGGAATAGCCAGCCCAAGTAGTATAGATCAATTGTTATACACACTTTATTAGCTTTTCCTTTGAGCTGCCTATTGGCATCAGCTTTCTCTGGATCGCTTGCAAAAGCTTTGGCCGGTTATTTTGGATTTTTTTTGAGACAAATATAGAGCTCTATATAAGCTTTTTCATAGCGTTATGCAACGCGAAACTACATCCTAGGACATAGTTGGTCATACACCCGCTTTGAGACAAGAATTATACAGACCTCTAGCCAACCAATTTTGTTTAAACGCAGAATACTGCGACCAAGAACAGATCTTTTTTTCATTTTCATTTTCTAGGCGACCCCCCTCTCCTCTTCTCACCAGAGTACAATAAAGATCGCATCTCCTTGTTTTGTTCAATAACTACATTAATGGATGCATATTGTAAATTTTCCGTCCCCAAACAATAATAATAATGATGCTTAATGCAAAGAAATCGAAACGAGACAGCCAATCCATTATCATTGCGGTCTCGTGGGTATGATGAGTAGCAAGAGCAAGTCTACGCGGATGAACAAGGGGGAAAACGCGATATTGCCAGAATAAAGCGACGGTGCTGTATGAAGGTATTGCAGCAACCGATAGTCGTCTATGTGCAGCGCCATATTGGTCTCTGACGATGATGATTTGGAGCTATTTAGCGAGATGAACAACGAACATTTTATGTGTCAAATGTACTGTATGCGTGGCTACAAGGCCGTACACTTTGGTATAATGATCGCCGAAATGATACTGACTGTATGCACAATGAATGTATGTGCTTTCTTTCATTAAGAAAACAAAGTAAGAAGGATCGACGGGAAAAGAGCGCTTTGCAAGATAATTTTAAGGAGTGTCTAAAATCGATTCTGCTGGTGCCGCAATTGTACCTTTCGTTCTGTCAGTTGAGTGAGTGAGTGAGTTAGTGAGTGAGTGAGTGAGTGTGGAGAAAAGAGACATCCGGTTTGGAGTTGTTGGGTTAGAAGGGAGTGCCCACCTTTGATGAAGTGATTGATTTTGATTCAACCACACCTAAAAAGCTTACCAACCAACCAACCAACCAACCAACCAACAGCCCCCTCCCCAATTTATACTCGCCTTTTCCCTTTTTTCCTCTTCTTTCTTTCTTCTTCTTCTTCTTCTTCTTCTTCACCACCTATTGCTCTCTCTGTTCTTTTCTTCAACTTAGGCTTTTGTACGTGAAAACCAGTAGACATAGTATCGAAACTCATTGGTAGCAACTACAGCGCTTATACGAAAAACCCAGCAATATTAGCAACAGTCGATGCCGGTCAATCTCATTCCAGGCGAGTTCTCGCCATTCACAATTGCCGTCGCTGTACTCAGTGGCTTCATTGTGTTTTTCGGCTATGTTTCCATGTTCCTCAAGGAACGTCTTTTCTTGTCCGAAGCATGTAAGAATTAAAAATAGGGATCGACCGACTGACACTCGAGGCATGGAAAGAGGGGATCGGAGAAAAAAGTTAACCAACCAACCAACCAAACCCCCCTTCCTTCTCTCCCTCTTTAACACTTGCTTATAATATGACACAACGTATCTTAATTACTTCAACGACAACGACAACAATGCTGCTCGATATCAGTCGTGGCACTGATTGTCGGGATCATTGCTGGTCCGCTTGTTGCCAATGGCATCAATCCGTACGGCTGGGATAACAATGATGAGATAACCAAGCAGCTGACCCGCTGCATTATTGCTATCCAGGTAAATTTAAATCAATTTCGTGCTCGACTCGAAGGGGCCATTAATCATCGTCCAATCCTTGTTTGTTATAGGTGATGGCCGTTGGAATTGAATTACCAAAGTAAGCCCATCTGATTATTGTGCTTTGGAGGTGGTCCCACCACGACTAACAGCATGTCCCCCATCGATGACAGACACTATCTCAAGAAAGAGTGGCTGACAATGTTCATGCTCCTGATTCCCGTCATGCTGTTTATGTGGCTCGTCAGCGGCCTGTTTATTTACCTGCTGGTACCACCCATCAACTATGCAAGTACCTAATACGATCCCATGTAGTAGTGGTACCTTTGTTTACATGCAAAGACATTGTTTGACACGTAAAATGTTTCCTTTTTGTATTAGCTCGAATCTTTGGTGATCGCCGCCTGTGTCTGTCCGACTGATCCTGTGAGTACTTTTGGGCAATTTTCTCCCCAGTTGATAGCGTTTCTTGTTGCTCTTCAAGGGCCCTATTTCCCGGTCCCCCTCCTCCTCCCCCTCCCCTCTCTCCTTTTTTTTATACAAAGTTCGAACCGCCTTGTCTTGGCTTTTTCTTTCACACGACCTGCCTCCTTATCATATCTATTTTCTGCGTGCTTTTGAGATCGACAGGGAGAGAAGAAGAGATAGACGTGGCTTTTATGGGGAGCAAAAGTATACATTACCTCCTTACATGTACATACACTCGCTTATTATAGATTCTGGCCAATTCGGTTGTGAAGGGCAGATTCGCAGAAAAACACGTACCCGGGCATATCCGAAACGCTCTTTCTGCTGAAAGGTTGGTTACTCCAATTTCTGCATGCTATGCAAGACCAGGAAAACTCGGGCACATCTACGAGTACTAACCACTTTGCAGTGGCGCCAATGACGGCTTAGGGTTCCCTTTCTTATTTCTTGCCATCTTTCTGCTTGGTGAGGATCATGTCGGCAAGGCTATCGGCAAATGGATCTATGAGACCTGCCTCTTCCAGATTGCGCTTTCATGCATTATTGGCGTGGTCGTAGGCTATGTTGCCCGTAAAATGCTACAGTGGTCCGAGCGACAGTAAGTCTCCCTTAAAATCGGTCAGGAACACACAAATTATAACACACTGAAAAACTCTTATTGTCAATATTTTTTGGCTAGCCATCTCATCGATAAGCCCTCGTTCCTTTCCTTTGCAATTGCTCTCTCTGTAAGTACTTGTGAATGAGTTTATGGCATTTCCGCTATTATAGTAACAGTATAGACAAGGGGTGTGTTTTTTTATTCTTTATTTTGGGGTGGTGATGGCACGGTCTTCTTATTTCTGCTTCTTTTGGGTGGCGACATTAGCTGTTTTTGATGAGCATGACGGGTTTTTCTGGTAGCGACGACGTCTTGGCATGCTTTGCAGCTGGCAATGCATTTTCCTGGGACGACTGGTTTCGAAAAGAGACCGAAGAGGCGCATTTCCAGGATGTTATTGATATGATGCTTAACTTGGCCATTTTCGTATATATTGGCGCTATCATAGTAAGCTCTTTTCCGTCCTTTCTTTGTCTCTAATTTAGTTAGAATATAATGCTAACTCGAATATGGCTCTGCTCGTGTCCTTGTGCATAGCCATGGAATGCGTTTCATGATCCGACGTTGGGCTTGACACCATGGCGACTTGTCGTCATTGCTATCCTTATCCTGCTGTTCCGTCGTCTTCCGATCGTTCTCTTACTGAAACCAGTGATGCCTGCAATGAAAACGTACCGTGAAGCCCTGTTTAGCGGCTGGTTTGGACCTATGGGAGTTGGTGCTGTGTTCTTGTCCAAGATCGCCAAAGAAGAGTTAGAGCAGGTGTACCCAATTGTTGAAGGTCAAGAAGAAGCGGTAGCGATTCGACTCATCAACCCTGTCGTTTTATTTATCGTCATGTCATCGGTCTTTATTCACGGTACAACAATTCCATTATTTAAACTCGGCAAACGTATTCGAAGCCGTACCCTGTCATTTGCAAGCACCAGCAGCAATCCAATGATTATGCGTATTCCCAAACTCTCGACAGGCGGTGCCTCTTCTCGTCGACATCAGCATCATCACCACCACCACCCTAGACGACCACAAAGCAGCCCAGACTCGTCCTTGACTGAGACGGAACGAAATACGATGATCAATACAGCGCATCGACGTCATAACAACGATTCTGAAAGTAGTGAAGAGACGACGATACAACCTGACTATGCAATTGATATGCAGCAAGCTGACGGATCTGATATTCCAGAAGAAGAATTTTTGCCTCCAGATGAGAATGAACCATATCCTAGCAACAGATTATCACATCAACAGCTTCAGCCACCGCCCTTGAGTCACCAGCAGAATCAACAACATGCCCACTCGTTACCGTCGACACCGTTGGAGTCGCAAATTAGATTCGTTGAGCCCATAAAGCCTCGCACATCGTCACAACTGCAAACAGAAGACACGAATACGAGTGGGCATAGCGGAAAAAGCAGTGGCAACAATGGTAGAAGAAGTTGGCTGGAGAGAAACCGCAACGAAGATCAAGACGATAGTCAACATCGCGGTAGCAGCAACAAGTCCAAATTCCACATATTCCGTGGAAAACATCATCAAAAGAAAGCGCCACGGTCAGAAAAAGAGGCGGAGAACAATCTTGACCCGCGTGCTGAAGAAGCCTTCCACACGCCACTAAATCCTCGTATTGAAGTATGGGAGGAGGAGGACAACATTATCATCGAGGATACCCAAGACGATACGCCCCAAATCGTCATCAACAAGAGCGAGCAGCCCAACTGGCGCGAAATCGTCAAGCGCACGGTCGATGAAAAAAACCATGCAATCCGTAGCGAGTCAGCTACCGCCCGTTCTGACAAGTCGTTTTCATCTTCATCGACGGCGACCAGCGCAACTTCTCGCAACAACAATAGTAATAACAGCCACTCATAAACATACAATATAGCATGCCTTCACGCCCACCTCTTCTCCCTCTATTGCAACTTTTTCTGCTTTTCATAGTGTTTAATTGCTAAGTGATATGGCAGCCCCCGGAAAAAGAAACTCACCTACGCATACACATTACACAGCTTATAATCACACCCTTTAATGTACAGAAGTGCTGGTAAAAAAAGGAAGGAATTTACTCTCTTTCATATTTTTACAATACGACCGTATCAATAGTATGCAGTACAAGGCTATCGTTAAGAAATTTCCAAAAAAGCAAGGGATGTTGAGCAATTTATTATTTCAAAGCATATGTTTTGTGTATGTGCAAACCTATTTAGTGACGAGATATGAGAGGGGTTTGTTTGTGGAAGTATAGCGAATTGTGAGAAAGACAGAAGAGGGGAGATGGAGATGGATATGTTATATGTACATTTCGTTAAAGGGATTCTGCAACGGAACGTGGGGTATTCTTTTTTACTGTGAGCGATGCGTTCCATAGATTCTGCGCTTCTTTGATCCAGCTTTCGGGAACGTTGTACTCGTTGGCGACAAATGGCGATCGCGATAAAATCGATACCACGTTCTCCTTGCTATTAACCGCAAACAACGTAATATAAGCACTTATCCTCTGGACTCTGTGTAGATACACCACTCCAAAAGCCCCGTTTATTCTCTCTCACTCTCTTCTTTTAATCATACCTTGATATGAACAGGGATGCAAATAGAGCCATATCCGCCAGACCAATCACTTGCAGTTCTGTGCACCAACGTCGCACGATACTTGCAACCAAAGTCGGTGATAGGTCATCTGCAAAGGATATAGCAAACCGCCATGCTAGCCGTGCCGGCCAGGCGCTCACATTGACCGTGGTCGGATTTTGGCTGTTGTATGTCCGTTGCCACCACCATTTGACGACGTTGTACCATGGTGAAGAGTCGCGTGCCTTGAGTGATGCGGCTGTCGTAGATGCAGATGTGGCAGTGGTAGTGATATTAGATGATGATGGCGGCGATGAAGATTTTGCCGGTGTTATGGTTGTGGTATTGTTCTTATCAAAGTAGCGTCCAAGCAAGGTATTCAACGGGTCTTCGCCTGGCCGTGTCTTTCCGTACAGAATGTAGAGCATCAATGTCTGCTTCCAATCCAATCCGTCCGTCACGTTTGAATCGACTTCGCCTGATAATGCCTGCCATATCTTGGCATGATAGTCGCTCTTGATGGCAGCGGTGGATGATAACTTTTTTCGTTGATTAACGGCGTTTTTGGGCGACATTGGTGAAGATAAGAAGATGGCGAGCGTGTAATCATTCTTTTTCACGGCCAGCGAGGTTGCATCACTGATACGACCAAACGTCATGGCAGTAAAGATTTCAGCGTACGGGTCGTTGGGCTCGGTCCTTTTGATGGATTGAATGGCTGCCTCTGCGCCTGCTGATACCGTCTGTATCCACCACTGCTTGAATTTGATGGCTTGTCGTTGTGCGTCGTCTTTGTCTTTTTCTCCCTGTTGCTTTTCAAAAAGAATGGCGCAGAGTCGCCAGCCTTGTTGTTCGTAACTTGGCAGTTGTGCAAAATCCGGAAGGTTCAAGTAGGTTGACCACTGTGCATTCGCCTTAAGTTTTGCGTATGGAATTCGATTTAGCGTTTTAACTGTGGTGTCGTTCTTGACTAGTTCCAACGTAGACGCGTAAAGTGTTCGACGCTGCAGGTTGCAAGTGTGTGTGTTTTCCAGGCGTTGTTAGGATTCGAAGCTGCACAAGGAAGAGGAGTAATTGAACAGAGAGAGAGAGAGGGGGTTGTTCAAATAAAAAGAATACCACCGTTTCTCTCTCTATTCAACAAGGAGGAATCTACGAAGAAGAGCTACCTTATTTCGTTTCTTTTCTGTCGTTGTAAGCGGCTTTTCGAAATTGCTGCAATCATTAGACGGCTGTGGCGACAGCGAAGAATCGGATTCGTAAGGTAACGAAGTTGGACTAACAAAAAGCATTAATAGAATTGACAAAAAAAGAGGTTCATCTACTGATAGTACCTATCCAAAATCTTTGTTTTCTTTTGATGACAGGCCTCTTCAACAGCGGTATCTTCTGAATGAGAACGCTTTTTCGCAGTAGGAGACAACATGGAGAAAGTCGGATATGAGAAAAGGAAAAGATGACAGAGAGGGCGGCAGAAGACAGAGCGTTTATGCTTTTGGGTTCAGCAAGTGTGTGACTTTGATTTTGAATGAATTTATTGAGGTCTTTGTAGTATTTCTGGGTGTACTTTCAAAGGGTTGAATTGTTGACGGGTAAAAACGGATGGGGGACAGTCTGTACTAAGCTAAGAGGAGAGGAGAGGAGAAAGAGATATTGGGTGTGTAGGGTTGATAAGTGTGTAAATGTGTGTGTTAGAAAGGAGTATACTATGTTAATGCGGTAAAAATAGCAAGCTAAAAATGCTCCACTTTGAATGTCCATGTTCCGGTTTCCACAGTATAGCCCACGAATTGGACACCTTGACGGTTGCGCAGCTTGTCGAGGAAGATTTTGAAGCGAGGATGCTCGGGGTCCTTGATCGGTTTCCGGGTTTCCTTGTCCATTGAGTAGCAGTTTTCTAGTTTCACTGTTGCTGGGACATTTAATGCAGTGCCTTCCTCGGCCTTGGTGCTTTCGTCGGGATAGATGACCACGCTCTTCTCTTCGAGGATCACAATGGTTCCCATAATATCGTGCAAATTCAACTCGGATAGGTCCACTGGCGAGTCGAACCGCACTTCACCATAGCCGTGGCGGCCCACCATGAACTTGTCGACGTGTTTGAGTTCTTCCTTGGTCATTGACTGCAGTGTTTCGAGCGTAGGAGACGAGTAATAGCCTTCGTTCGCGCTAGCCGATGAATATGCCTTGGTTGAAACAAACTGCGGTGCAGCAGAGCTTCCTGTATGCGCAGTGGCAGACGATGAGGACGGCGTTGCTGCTACTGCGACAGCAGACGAGGATGCATCACCAGCTTCCTTTTCCCGTTCGGTCTCCTTCTTGCGTGCCAGCATCTCCAGCTTAGGATCGAAGAGCATCTGGGGTTTGTCACTCTTTTTGTTCAGGAGCGCGGCAATATCAGCACTGTCAATCTCCTTGTCAAACACGAGCTTTTTGTTGCTTGTGCGTGGAGAAAAGGCGTTAGGACCGAGCACGGCGTCGTCGCTGATGCCTTCGAGCGAGCTCATCTTCCTGCTTGTGGAGGATCGACTAGCAGAGCCGAGCGAGAAGCCACGAAGCTTGATCTTGGAGACGACGCGGGGTGCCATGGGCCGATGAGCAGCTGTAGGTTTCTTGCCCGAGTCCAACGCGACAGCACTGGGACCGGGCTTTGCTCCAGCAGGAGCAGGCTTGCTGGTGTCAAAGAGTGGGTTAGAGCCGTATGGCTTGTTGTCAACAGTGGCAATCAAGGGCTGTTGCTGTTGACCGGGTTGGAGGCCAGAAGTGCCGAATGACGTCAAACCGCCTGTGGCCGGCAAAGAGAAAGTGTTGGTACCCGCTCCTGGTTGCTGGGTGCCCAAGCCGCCGCCAAAACCGCCAAAGCCGGTCGAGCCAGCTTGGTTGTTGAACAGACCAGTCGTGCCGGCCGTGCCGGTCGCTGGCTTTTGACTGAACAGGCCTCCTGATCCGAAACCACCAGCACCCGTTGCTCCAGCGCCGAAGCCGCCAGTGGCTGCTGGCTGTCCACCACCGAAGAGAGATGTTGAAGCAGCAGGTTTGTTTCCGCCGAAAAGACTTGTTTGTTGAGTTTGAGGTGCACCGAAGCCGCCTGCAGTGTTCGTTTGTGGTGCGCCAAAACCACCACCAGTAGTAGCACCGAAACCAGTACTTGTTGCGCCAGTCTGTGCACCTGGTGTATTGAACGAGAATGAGGTGGCAGGCTTGCTTGTTGCGGTCGATCCAAAGCCACCACCGAAACCGCTGGTAGTACCACCAAAGCCGCCAGTTGCTGGGGTTGTTGCAGGTTTTGCTCCAAATCCACCAAAGGCGCCGGTTTGCTGTGGATTCTGCTGTCCAAATCCACCGGTAGCTGCGCCTGTAGCTGCACCGAATGCTGGAGTCGAAGTCGTAGCGCCAAATCCGCCTGCTGCAGGTTGCGAGCCTATTTAACGTTTTTTTTATTGAACAAGTTAGCCAGATAAGTCAGCTTTTTTTTACTAGTAAGATCCCCTTTCTAATTACCAAACAGAGGTTTTGCAGCATTACCTGGAGCAGCACCAAATCCTCCAGTAGCGCCAAAGCCTCCTGTGGTACCACTACCAGCACCAAATCCACCAGGTGTGCTTCCGAAACCACCAGTTGTGCCGCCGCCAAATGCTGAGGTACCTGATGCTGCTGGTTGCTGTTGGCCGCCGCCAAATAAGCCAGTTCCAGTGCCAGTGCTGCCAAATCCACCAGCGGCCGGCTGTTGTGGCTGCCCGAATGCGTTTGTCGCAGGCTGTTGACCTCCAAAAGCAGAAGAACCTGCGGCAGGTTGACCAAATCCACCAGTTGCTCCTGTGCTTCCAAATCCACCTGTTGCGCCTGCTCCAAATCCGCCCGTGGTACCTGCTGCACCCGAGTTTTTGCGGTTCTGTGCGTAATCTTGCAATCGCAGTTCTTCCAAAGAGTAGTTGCGGTACTGGGGCATTGCTGTGATTGTTTGGAAGTAGTTGTTCGTACCCGAGGCAATATCGCGATCCGTCGTTGCTGTAAAGTCGGCTACAGCAGTACCTTGATTGGCACCACCTGCAGCGCCAGCGGGTTGCCCGAAAGCAGATGCTGATCCCATGCCCCCACCGAATGCAGACTGTTGTTGTTGAGGTTGGGCACCAAAGGCGCTGGGTGCAGAGCTGGTAGCACCGCCGCCAAACACACCACCTGTAGTAGAAGTAGCGGGGGCTCCGAAGGCGCTAGGACGGCTCTGGCCAAAGAGACCACCGCCGCTAGGTTGGGTATTTGCTGCAGCGCCGAATCCTGATGTAGTTGGCGTCGAAGCTAGTGAGAGAGAGATATGGTATTTCAATATCAGTAAAACGATGAATCACATTTCATTATTATTCTCCTCCTTTCATTTCTCTTTTTATCCATCTGCAAGGTACTTACTAGCTCCAAATCCACCAAAACCAGTAGATGGTTGCTGCTGTTGAGTTCCTGCTATATATATGATATTCAACATGCTTTTAGTATACGTCGAATGAAGTCAAAAAGAAAAAACCCTCCTTTTAAGAAGGTAGGACGTACCTGAGCCGAAGGCAGACGTTCCGCCAAATGCAGATGGTCTCGATTGACCGAATGCTGATCCAGTGTTTGCTCCGAAGCCTATAAGTTTTAGTTTCAAAAAGTAACATATTGTCAATCAGTCTCAAAACACGATAATGTAGCCAGAATTCAAAACCCACTAAAAGGCACGGTTCTCCAACATTCTTGCAACATTCAAAGAAGAAAACGTTCAAATCGGTTACTCACCAGTTGCTTGTCCAGTCGAGCCGAATGCGCTTGGTTGTGCAGATTGACTAAACGCTCCGGTGGATGTGTTGGGAGTTGAGCCAAACGCGCCTCCAGTTGTTGTTGAACCGAATCCTTTAAGGAAAAAGGACAAACAATGTCAGGTTATGTTTGCATTCATTAATTATTACTATTATTTTTTCTCCTTTCCAAATTCACCCTTTGTGCTTCCCCCAAGTCTCAATGTAGAACTTACCGCCTCCACCAAATGGAGAAGGTTGTTGTTGTTGTTGTTGAGGCTGCTGTTGCCCAAAGACAGAAGACTGCTGCTGCTGGCCGAATCCTCCAGTGCTTCCAAAGGCGCTTTTGCCAAACATTGCGGGTAAAGAACTAAGAGGGAAAAAAAAGCGCGTCGTGCTGGTGCACTTTTGTTTTTTTATATACTAAAAGTCCGCAGCAAAAAAAATCACTGCTGCTGGATTGCTGCGACTTTATTCTTGGCTTGGAGCAGCCGACCCTTTCGTTTTCTATCTACTAACTGGTGTCCTACATCTCTTATGATACTATATTTTACCAAGTGCGCAACAATATATAGAGCAGGAGGATATTCTAACAGTGTAAGTTCGTTTACTCGTAGCAGCTATATTCCAAATTGTATTATATGTATATATCTACTCTTACGTAGTAATGACGGCCTTATATCTTCAAAATTTGGTAATCATGGCGCCTTAGCCTTTGTTCTTGAGAAAAAAGCTATTGGTAATTCAATTTTGCTTCTGCTAGACTCTATCACATAATAATAATAAAAAAGCATAGGGTCTATAACGACTTCAAATAATTCTCACGTTTGTAAGTTGTTAGATCCAATATCAATGGTATTACTGGAAAGAAACATAGCAGCAACATGATGGTGGTTACTAAACCTGCCTTGCATCAAGTTTTGCAGTCCGCGCGCTTAAGAAAGAGAAACCCCACCTTTTTTGTGAGCTCACTTCTTTTTCTTATTCAGCTCAATATGAATCATAGTGCTGTACCCAACATTCCTGGAATCCCGGTCCGAGATGATCGTTTTTTAAAGGAAAAGATTGCAAAATTATTAAATATGCGAAGCTACAGGTTGTTCTCCACGTTATATAAGTTTGTGTGTTGCTTAGTGGGTTAGCTGATCTAAAATGTTACAATTTTAGATTTCCAGGTGCACAACCTGTGAGCTTTGGTTCTGCACAATTAGAAGAACTTGAAAAAGAAGAGTATGTCCTTTTAAATTCAATCCAACTTACGTACACCTATTGGAAAAGTTGACGATTGAGTTTTCGAACTTTGTCTCTCGTGTTCTTTCAGTTACTTTGTCGCCGAAAAATCAGATGGTGTACGGTGCCTAGCATTGCTTACTGTGAACGAAAGAAACGAACAAAAAGTCTACTTGGTATATTGGCAATCGATTCTTTCTGGCTTTTCTTTTCTTTTCTGTCGACAGGGAATTTCTAACACGAAGAGACGACGAAAAATAGTTTGATCGTAAAAGCAACTTTCACGTAGTCGATAATATACGATTTCCGATCCCTCAAGATCCCTCATTTCGAAAATGTCTTTCGGATACCATTATTGATGGCGAGTTTGTTCTGGATACTGAACCTGACGGCAGTGTTAGTCATAAACGGGTGCAGAGGACCGGACTGGATGAATTGCGTACCGTGTTACTGACGCAGTGGGGTCTAATGTAGACTACGTTACGATTTTTACTCTTCGATTGCCTAGTGATTGCCAAAATATTATTAACATCACGGGATTTAATGAAGCGGCTTGGTGTACGTAAATATATATATGCAATAATGTATGCAAAGTGATGATGATTATTCAGGAGATCTCAATGAGTTTGCTGCTATGTTTAGTACCTTCGCAACGAGATAATACGTCCACATCACGTCATGTTAAAAAGAAATCCACATATGGTGAAACACCAGCCATTCAGGTAAAGTTTCGAACAATTCCAAAAAAAGTGTTATACAGATTATGCATGCTAATAATGAGGTTATATCAGTGTGGAATTCAAAGAACAGCAATTTACATATCATCTTGATACTGTATTCAAGCAGATCATTCCTGCATTGAGGCATGGTAACGATGGACTTATATTCACATCGGTCGTAGCACCATATGTGTTAGGAACATCTGAAAAAATGTAAGGTCTATTAAGAATTGAGAAAGAGAGGCAAGGAGAATAAGTGATCTGTGTATAATAATGGTTTAGCTGATTCGATCCGTCCATGTGCATTTATCAGGATTAAATGGAAGCCTGCCAACGAAAACTCAATTGATTTTAAAGTACATGTGACGTTTCCTGGTTCGACACTTCCAGACGTACCAGACTTGACGGCAAGACCACGAATAGATTTGCTTGTATGGAAAGGTGGTGATAGATACGAGTATTTCAACGAGCTTGGTATTACGGATATGGAATGGAAGCAGACGTTTGGCAACACACCGCAAAAATTGCAAGGGCGTATCATCGAATGCAATTATGACCCTGAGGCGCAAGAAAAATACAACTTGCAGTCGCCATGGCGATTCATGCGTTATCGTGACGACAAGCCTGATGGAAATCACAAAAGTACTGTCGACAAAGTACTGAATAGCATCAAAGATGCTGTAACACAAGAAGAGGTAAATTTCGTTATACGTTAGCATAAATGTGGTTTGATTGCTTACACACATAACATATTCTGCAGCTGATAGCAAGAATTCCGAGCATACGGGATGCATGGTCAGAGCGAAAGAAAAAGGCATCGGAGAAAAAGGCAGAGGAGGCAGAGGATAACTTATAGAAAGTTCTTATACGCATTATGCATGTTTTCCCTTTTCTTACCTTTGTACGACGCGCACGGACCAGCAACACACAACATTATTAACACCCATATTTACATAATCCACACAGAATGTGCACGCAACCTTTCTACTCTCGTCATTCAACAACTTTATTTTCCAACTAATAATCGTCACCCTTAGACAAAATCTATTCCAATTTTATAAAAAGAGAAGATATCAGCGGGAGTAATCATGGTGTTTTCTTCTATAAAAAACCAATTACCTCTTTGCATGTCGGTTTCAGCAGAATTGTGTGCTCAAGCTGGGCTGTGTAACTACCTCTTGTATCACACAAAGGTGGATAAGCAGTAACAACACCGGAAGAAACCAGGTTTCGCAGACCCAATAGATATTTTTCTTCGCCTACGCGATCGAGGTAACGTCGACAGAAAGGCAAAGTGCCGAAATGCTTGTTGATGCTAGCGAGCAAAGACTTGGCACGGGGAACTCTGTTTTCGTCGTAGCAATTGTAAAAAAAGTGCGTGGTTTAAGTCGTCCATCCAATACAATACGTTCTAATAGTAGTGAAGATATTTTCTCAAAGCGAACAGTATACCTGATTGGGACATGGGCGGCATCATATGTTTTGGCGTAATGCGAGCATTCACCGTCCTCAATTACATAACCTCGACCAGTCTATAACCATCGTCAAATCAATCATTAAATCTTTTGTCTCTCTTTTACTTGTTTCAGCTGTGATACTTGTTATTACTTACCGAACAGAATGTCTCAATAGCAACTTGCTCACCTTCCTATATGGATAGGAACGAACCGATATAAGTACACCGTCTAAGGTGTGGAACACCGCAGATAGAACAACAAAAGCCACTTTACCTCAAGCTTAGTTTCATCACCAGAGTTTCTCACGATGGGGACGGATTTACCCGCATGTATACGGTAGGGTTCAATGGTGTGACCATTCAAGTTGCGAATAGGCTTGATATCATGGGTCTTGCCATCCAACTCGATTTCGTACGAGTCGTAGACTTCGTGGACAGCAGCACCGATATCACACAAGCGAACATCGATACCAGCTTCCTTAACACCGGCATATGTAGCTTCCTTGGCAGCTTCAATCAATCTGTCGTACTTGGGATTGAAATGCATCGTGAAAGCGGAATCAATGATACGACCTAGCGACATAAGCACAGGCATGAAAGGTTAAGCGATAAAAAATTAGTTTTCGATACTAAATTCAAATACACTCCCGTTGCCCAGTTGTACCATTGACATGGACACCAAAATCGATCTTCATGACATCGTCATAGCTCAAGACAGTCTTGTCACCGGCATTTGGCGTGTAATGGGCAGCACAGTGGTTGAGTGAACAACCGGTGGGGAAACCAATACCAGCCTGGAGTCCGTTTTCTTCGACCAGATTGCGAGTACCGTTTTCAATAGTCTCACAAATGTCAATCATGCTCATACCGGGCTTGATAGCTTTACGAGCATACGAACGCACCTGATAATCACAAAGTTTACAGAGTAAATACAAATGATCCATCTCCCTATTCCTATCGGTTATAGCAAGTTACCTGACGATGCACTTCTGCAGCCTTGCGCATGTCATTATAATCATCGTTGGCGAGTCTTTCAGCAGCTCGCTTTTCTTCATTCGTTGTGCGCCATGTATTGCTAAGCAAAAAATGGGGTATTAAATAACTCTTCCTAGCCACAAACACGCCCATGGCATTCCATTCTTTATATGCATACTCGTCTCGGTATTCGTGCTCCTCGCCCACTGGGAAGACGTTGCTCGTGAACAGCTTGGCGACAGGTACAGTGGGAGGTTCAGTTTGTGTTTTAGGGGACTTCTTCTTGTTTTTCTTCTTCTTCTTTTTCTTGGCTGTTCGTATATCGTCTCCAGTGAGTAAAACAAATGAAACGGAGGGAGTACGTGGTGGAAGACTCACTCTCCCTCAAAAAGATTCCTATATGCGATTGTCTTACCGGCTCCTTCAGAAGCTCCTTCACCACCTGCTGCTACTGCTGCTTCAACGTCCTCATTCTCGTCGTTGTTCTCGTCTTCAGCATCTTCAGCATTGTTGTTTTCGGTATCATTCGTAGCTAGAAACAACAGCGGCAGTCATGCAAATTAAAATAAACCAATGTGGTTGAGTAAAATTGTGTTTCTTTCTTTACCTTCATTGCCATTGGCAGCGCCAGAAGCTTTCTTCTTCTTGTTCTTCTTTTTCTTCTTAGCAGCAGAAGAAGCACCAGAGGCGCCGTTGGCGCCATTCGGTTCTTGTGGTTGCTCTTCCACAGCAACGTCGTCCGAGAGCTTAGTTTTCTCTACAGCCTTTGCGAGCGATTCCTCGGTGGCCATTCTTTAAAGTTGAAAAATATGCCAAAGAAAGAAAGGGAAAAAATTTGAGATTTTGCGGAGTACAAGAAGCATTGTTCTTTCGTGTTGCCCAAGGAGGGAATAGACAATGCAGACACACCACTTGAGCGTGTATCTGCTACAATTATTGACACAGCTAGAGCTAAAGTACCTTCTACATTTGCTTATGGCTAGGAGTCACACTCGTGTGTTATGGAGCGCGTCCATGAGTGGTAAGATAAATACCCTGCTCGCTGTCATTTACGTATTGTAGTGGGACGGATTATCCAATTCTCTTTTATCGGTTTGACCACCGCCCTTAGAAAACTTCCTATAAGCATCTTTATCACTGGGTACATATGCACTTGGATTCTTCTTTGCTGCGGTTGATTAGCTCAAAATTGGGCACAGTAATCACGCACATCATATATATCATGATCATATTCACCAGCTGTACAGCATTTGCAACTTATTTGATGCATTCTTCATCAGCTGTCACTCCCATAGTTAATTATAATTTTTATGTGTACATACCGCCATTCAAAGCTCATACAACAGAGCAACGACATACCAAATATTGTCAAAATTGTAAATAGTGTGAGTTTTTAAGTACAATTGGCGCTTCATCTCAGCTGTCATCTTCGCCGACCTTTAGGAACAGTTTGTAAACATTAATAGCCAGGCTTTGGTCTACTGTACCTTTTATTGGCATCGCGCTAATAATATCTTCGAATTACTTGTATCTTTTAATAGGTTGGCGTATACACAGAAAAAGAATAAAAGAAATGATAAACGTTAAGAATATATAAGATCTAACGATGCGGGTATCGACTGTGGTTATGATATTCTGGATTTTGGCTATTAATTAGTTCGGCTTGACATTCTTGAACTCAATTGATCCTGTCACGCACATTTGCCTGTATCATGACAGAAGCCGAGTTGGCATATTTTGTAGCACTCTACTAGTGAATAGCTAATTTTTATGGGGTTTGGTTATCATATGAATATGCGTTTTCAAAGTACTATTTTTATAGCAGACATCAACTGCGATCTTATCAGTAATGATTTCGAGAAGCAGTCAAAACCAGTCAAACAGAACAGCCACAATGCGAGTATTTATGCCTTCGAACAATGAAGAAAAAGAGGACATTGGTGATCCGGTATGCCACAAGTAGCTCTGTGCTGGGGCCGGATAGCATATGCGATTTGGCAAAGGTGAGATCATGAGCGGAGGCGTATTATACAGACACGCCGAGCATATCCGACAGAAGAGTCAAGAACATAGATGCCTTCATCAGTAGAACTGATTGCAAAAGTGGCTAGTAGCAGTTTGTGTGTAAAACAAAACCTTTAGAAATTTGTACGCGTGTGATTAAAGCTGGTTGTTCCTCGGGAATGAATCAACTTATCATAATTTGAGACCTTGTAATCGCGATTCAATCAGTTCCTACTTGTCGACTCCACCTTCTTCGTCTTTGCCACATTGCGCGACACCATATCCTAAACCAATCTTGCACAGTAACAAATCTGGCCTCATCGATGACTGCTTTGTAGCGTAAAGTTTTACTCTAGGTAAATTCTCGGCGATTGTTCGAAAATGTATTAGTTTAAGAAGAGCACGATTATCACAACCCCACCTAGTACATTCTGGTTTTCACGACCGATATGTTGTGAAAGTACTGATCCAAAACAATGACGTATTCACAACAGTAATATATCTCGGGACCTATCGGTGCAATGTCGTCCAGGACTTCCCAAAAGTAGTGGAATAATATTGCCAACATCGAACGCTTGAGCCAGTCTTCGTCGAAATGTACTGGCGGGTCAAATAGACAGACATTTCTCGCTGATCATGGCGCCGACTTCGTTGATAACCTCCGTTTGCTGATTAGGGCCGAGTATATCAGTGTACTTCTTAAGTGTTTCTTCACAACATCAGTACAACCTTTAAGGAAAGCCTCAATTTCTGGAGTAAGGATTGGTTGACTAATATTTCCAACCATATAAATCGTTACTAGTTGAGCTTGTGTGAACACCATTCGCCAGCAAGAGTCTGAGAAATCAATCACAAAGGAATGAGGAAGGTTATCATATATGAGCAGTAAGGGAATTGAGAGTTTAGTACAATTCACATGAAGCAGATCCCAGCATTATCAAAAAAAGCCATGTGCTGAATCCAAGCATTTACTGTTCATATTCAAGCTGAAGTCTTAATACATATATTTTGTCCTCGACAAAAATGTCATCGCCAGGGTTCCACTACTTTTTGTCGTCGAGGACTTCACCATTTTCGTAAGACCTTATAGAATGCTTCGGAGAGTGGCAAAGAGTCTGATTTAGAGAGCTTTATACCAAAGTATAGATGCGCGTTTGATGGCATAAAGTAGGCAGAACAAAACTGTACGTACAGAGCGAGATTGCTTATTACTTACATATATTGAATTTCGTTGAAGGGCTTTTGTCTAAAGGACACTCAAAAATTGGTATTAATCGGTTTGGATTGGATCGAACTCAAGCACAGGATTTCTGTTTGTGCTGGGTCCAGTATAGATATCATAAGCTGATAATTAGACAAACAACACAAACCTTTGTATTCATCAGCGATCGATTTCTTATGGTCGTCTATTCGTGGTTTTCTTGACTTCACATACACAGACTAACATTAGGATTTTTACCATTATATTGCTTCCTGTGTCATGGTTGGAGTCATCAGTTTGATAGTAATTGACGGATCCCCCAATGTTGCTCGATTTGATCGCTAGTTCACGAGTTCTCGATGACAAAACTTTCACGCGCTTCCAAAATTCCACGGACACTTGGGAATTTTTCAGTTTCAACAACGTCATCAATCACTTCATTCCCTTAAAGCAGACTTATGTAGCAAAATAGATTATCTGTATATGCTCATTATCACAGCATATACGGGTGCTGCGCGGTTTGCTTCCAACTTTACGGTGTGATATTACTAAAAACTTTAGGAATACATCACATATTTGGGATTCGTGAATCAGATTTGGCGAGATACAATAACAATGCGCTGATATGTCGTTGGCAGGCGTAGACGTGACGCGGCAGCTTCATCTATATAAAGTTGTTGACACGAATGTTTTTGCATCCCAAAAGAATAGGGATATAGAAATAGGATGTCAAAATGCTGGCTCACTAAAGGCACAGTTAATATTTACAACTACATCCTTGCGACCGTCGAAAACTACATGACCACAAAAGCCTTGCAAACAGAGCAACAATACATAACAGAGGTAGTGTCAATTATCAAAGATCCTTACGAGCCGACTTTTTTTCCATAAGCAAAGCATAAACCTAAGCTACGCTCACTGAAAGCGTAGGTGACCGAACGGGAAGCTGCACACTAGCAGAAGCTGCTCCAAAAAAGCAGAAGGACCCGAACAAATGAAGAAACACTTTGTGTCACAGCAGTCTCTTCAAGCAAGACACTTAGTGCTGCTGAGATTCTAGGTAACAAAGCGACGGAGTACTTTTCTTCCATTGTTTGCTTCGGTGCACACATCATTATGTACATTCACAGGCCTATGGTAAGCGTTCTATAAAAGCCCTGTCTTGTCTCACGTATAGTGAATTTTCTCCTAACCTTTTTCCTGCGTGAGTTTAAAAGTGGTGTTCCTCTTGCCTATATGGCGATAATCTGCGACATAAAAGTGGACTTTTTAAAAACATCGGAACGACTAATTGCGGAACAAAAGGGAACAGATCGCCTGTTTTCGACAACGCAGGGAATGATAGCTCGTGAGAAAAAAAGTGTATCACCACGACAGCAGAGTGTTCTCATAAATGTTGGATGGTCTTCAAGTCCTAGCGCACATACTTACATAAACGGCAATACCGAAAGCTTTATCTCTGTTGATCAATGAGAGACGAGGCCGAATAAAGTTAGTGAGAAAACATCTCCAATAATTGAACTATCGGGATAAACCTCTATTGGGCTTTGTATGAACATGTCAAGCCACGCTGCTAAAAATGTTGCTTCTTTGCCGGGCATTATTGGTCTTATATTTTCCTTGTCAAGCATTCTTGCTTATGGCATATCATTACGTGACTTCCATCATCGATTAGCAACTGAACATGAGAAAGGATGCCGAATGTATCCAAAAGAAGCGTACCATAGCACTGTTTGTGCCCGCTGCTGAATAGGCATTAACACCTCACATAACAAAAACCATCTGCAAATAAGTATGCAAATCAACCCGTGACACATTGAGAACAAGGCATGATTCCCCGATCGGATACAAGTCTACGCACAGCATAGGTCAGGCTAAAACTTGTACAACAACGCAGGGAATTGACTCATCAAATCCAAGCACGGGCGATCGTACATACATTGAACAGAAGCAAATTCCAAAAAAAAAAAAAAGTCGCATAGGTGTAGTTGAATAGTGGCAACTCATGGAAAATGGTATAACAATAATAACAATGCTGGAAAATGCAGGAAGTTTATAACGATTTGTTTTCTTCTCTTCAATGGAAAAAGAAAGAGGGGGAGAGCGAAATGGGATAAAATGCAGGGAAGAAATGTTTATAATACGAATCCTACAGAAAGTAAAAGGAATACCATTGTTCAATGTTAGTACCCATAAGACTACAAAATCAAAGCCTCATGGTATTAATTTTTCATACCAGGATAAGATGAATTTTCATCATCGTCATCTTGTGTGGATAATGCAAGCGATGGGATAGGCTCAAAGCTCTGCGGTAAGCCAGTTTTCGGATGAAACAACATGTTACTCTCTTCTTGCTCATTTGGGTGTTGCTGCTGTTGCTGTTGTTGCGGATCATCGGAAAAGGAAGAGCAGTAGTGTACTCGCAAGTGGCGTCGCATATTACTTTGAACGCTAAAGCGTCGCCCACAACCAGGATGGGGACATCCGTGCGGCTTCTCGCCAGTATGAGAGTAAATATGCACGCGTAAGGATGAAGGTCTGGAAAAGGTTTTGGGGCACATCGAACATCGGTATCGGTGGTTATTAGGTGTTGTTGGTGATGACGAAGATGGCTCAGCATGCTGCTGCTGTTGTTGTTGTTGAGATGCTAGCGACTGCTGTGGTAGCAAAGGAGGCGGTGCAGACACACGATTTGATGACTGGTGGTCATACCTGCTGGATCGCTTATCAGATGCTGGTGTTGACTGTTTGCTTCTGTTATTGTTGTTAGGAATGCCGACGATGTTAGCTTGATGGATATTATTTTCGTCTAGTACTAGAGACCCTTTATGAAGATCGATGTTTCCACGTGTGGAATGCATTACAATAGGGGAAGCAGGAACGACTTCGTGATGTTGATAAACAGGCGATGGTTGTGATGTAGTGGTGGTCGGGACCACTGTAGTGGCCGAAAAAGCTCTGCGATGGCGGTGGGGTTCGTAAGAGGAGCGACGACGAGGTGTTGAGCCAAGCATTCGAACAGGGGCTGTTGAGTTTTGCAAAGGCGATGCGATCGGCTGTTGTTGCTGCTGTTGCTGCTGTTGCTGTTGATGGCGTTGCTGATGATGTTGCTGTTGTCGCTGCTGGTATATTTGTTGCTGATAATAGTGATCGTACAAGTTATGGTCCGATACCGAGCGCATATGTGCTGGTTTCGTAGCAGTATTAGTATGATTGTTGTTGCTGTGGTGGTTGGTATTGATAAGCAACTCTGCCGACGATGATGGCTCTGGTGACGGAGACTCGCCAGCAGTTGAAGATGTAGTATTGTCATCCACGACCAAGTGTGCCACCCCATTATTGTCGGGACTTGGCTTTCGCGCATCATGGGCATCAGCTGACGACGATACGGGCACTCCCGGCTCTTCAAAAAAGAGACTTGCTGCGTCTTGCTTCAGTCCTGATAACAAACAGTCAGTGTTAGTTTCTTGGCCGTGTGTTCTTTACGTTCTGTAAAGAGGATGGAAGATGAAGGAGCGTGCGTGGTGGCGATCGCAGTCTTCCTTTGTGGGTCGTGCGATCCTTTATCTCTACTCCTTTTCAACTTCCTTTTCTAGCACTATCCCTTCATATCCCGTGCTTATCTGTGCAAAGAAAAGAACTTAACGTGCCTTGTTGCTCTTCGTCGCTAGGCAGCATGGTCTTTATGGGTGGCAATGAGATGCGTTCGGTATCCATAGTGAAATAGAAAATTTTTTCACGATGTTACAAAAGCGAGAAAAAGAAAGGGGTGGCACAGTTCCAACAAGCGAATTTATAGGGTGCGCACAACGCACACTCAACGTCAAGTGGGTCCCGGTGCGGCCGATCTAAATTTTTTAAGGGCACATGCTCCCCTGGGCTTTTGGTCGATCAAGACAAAGAGTCATGCACTCGCTGCATTATACACCATCATCTTCTTACTACCCTTTGGCTTGTCCGACGCATCGAATCTCCCACATGTATCTCCGTCGATAATAGCAGTCAAGAAGAATAGAAAAAAGGAATGATGATAAGACCGATGACAAAATACTGCGATTGAACCACCAACAGCTGCAGCGTGTCATGTGTCTTAATGAGTCTGTTGTGGAACAGTTCTTACCAGACTTGACAAAAAGCCGCAGAGCCAGTTCGGCACATGGACAACCGATATGCGAGCTCTTCGTGTGGGCGATAACCACAATTATGAAGAATGCGAATGTTTTGTTGCAAGCCTCCTTTATTGTAACGAACTTTCTCGATTTCAAAGGTCGCGGAAAGAACAAAAGAAAAGGCAGATAACAGAGATCTTCATCGTGCCTATTTTGGATGCTTATCGCCTGCCTTGTCAAAAGCCACTTTCTCCTTCTTACAGATATTTTCCATAATTCGACCTCTTACTCTTTTGCTATGCAGGTGGACAGCCGCTTTACCGATTCTGCATTTCAACTTTGAACATGTCTTATTTACCTCCGAAGACTGTTTCTGGTGGGCCACGCTTCAAGAATGAGAATTCATGTCATTTCCACTCACAGTACTTTCTCGATGATCCAATCAACTAGTGGTGAGCATGATTAGCAAACACGCGCTCATGTAAAGGGTCATTGCCGGAGGCGCTTGAAAGCGCTGAGCAAATAATATAAGAAAAACAGGCTTGTTCACGTTGCAGTATGTGCTATTGAGTGCAACATATAATAAAGTTGCATCCCCGAACGTTTACTGTGCACATGTACAGTTTTCTTTCAACAGCCATATAGACGAGTGGGTATATGAAACACCAGTACCATAACGCTTGATATAGAGTTTGTCAATGCATTTAGGGGATATTTTGCATAAGGGAACCTGCTGCTACTACTACATGGTGCGCTAAGAACTCATGATGATACCCTGGTTTCACCGCATGGAACAACGAAATGGCAACAACAACAACAACAAATGATGGTGGCGCTGTAATATTCGGTCGCTGACAAGTACTTGGAATGTTGACCGCTAGCAGGAGTCAGCTGGTACTCGCACCCACTTTTTCGCGATTTTATACCTGGAAGCGACGTAAGAGTGCCGCAATCGATGATGCACGGGCTTCAACTGTGGCGCCAGTGGCAGAATATTACGGCTCATAAGATGAAATCAGCGCATAATTCAATCAGCAACTGTCAGTGGTGGCAAAGACAATTGTCACGTTCTAGACTTTCTCATCGCTTAATGAGGACAAATGTACTTGCTGATAACGTTCGTTGATCATACATAGTACGGCGATATAATAATGCTTCGAACAAAGAAAAGAAGTGGTCCTTGCCACTATGAACTGTTTAACGGATAGTATGTCAGTCACGGCAGAGGATGGGTTCGGGGAAGCCTAATGAGGCAATGGTTGCTTCATCAACAATCAAGCGATCAAAAACCCCTGGGACGATATGTTTCACTAGGGTTTTTGAGCAAAAGCGGTGGGCTGACCCCTTCACATAATTTCCTTTCTTTATCTCTTTCACATTCTGCTCATACTCTTAACATTATGTCGTACCAACAACAACCAAGTGAAATGCGTTCAGATGTTATGCCAGCACAACAGGCAGCACCTCAATCCTATGTTCCTGAGCAAAACGTTCGCAATGTTCAACCACCTCAAAACGTGTTCGTGGTGCCAGTAGTACAACAGCAACCACCGACTCAGAACGAAGGAGCAGCTCTCCCACAAGCGCAAATGCAGCAACAACAGCAACAACAGCAACAACAGCAGCCAGGCATGAGCTCGGGCGTCTACGGGGGCAGTAGCATGGGTTCCCGCGGAAGTCGTCCGGTAGCAGATCAGAATGCATTCATGGGCACAGACCTACAAGAGCGCCGCGCCTCGTGGAATGAATTGAATCCCCGACAGCGGGCCAAGCAGCTCGAAGCCGAAATGAAGGATAAGCTCAAATATCGGAAGGAGCAGCATATTCCTGAACCTACCAAGCAGGTTACCCTTGGAGGAAAGGCTATCGATCTGCAGGAGGAGCAGTGAGGAGCATGGCTGTGAAACATATTTTTCATACAACAGATACACTAAGTACGTCTTTATAATAATAATGAATATTTGCGTAAATAATATAAACTATGTCCGGCACATTCTGAAATGATGGACGGCGCAATGTGCTTACCCACCAATGTGTGGTAGCATTACTAGTTTCTTTTTATCGACTGGTATTTCTTCATATGCCACTTGATCCACTCAACAATAAAAAAACACAAGGAAAATGCAACATATTTTCATTTAATGAAAAGGTGGGAGAGTGGAGTGGGGACAATGATTCGATTAAGTAGTAGAGAGAGAAGAAGTCGAGCTAAAAGAGGAGTACAAATAAATGTTATTGATCGTATTTACAAAGCATAAGAAAGGAAGGGTATCTCAGTCAAGTAGTGATCCACGGTTCATATTTTGGCCAGCACCAATTCCGCTAGAACTGTTACTGTTGTTGCTGCTGTCGCTTGAGCTACTTGCAGATATACCGTCTTCTGTATCGGTATCGCTAGCGTAGCGCGCAAGAGCGGGAGGGATGGCAGATGAGCGAGGAAACGTGGAATACTCGGGGGGAGATTGGGCTGGATAACGGTTGCCGTTTCGTGGTATATCGATTTGTATCAGTGGCTGTTCATCGTCGTCTTCGTCATAGTCACGATTGACATTGCGCGTTCTACTGCTGCTAAAGATTGGTGCGTTCGGAGGGGTTGGTACAGCATCTGCATCGCCACCAGCACCTCCTAAGCCAGCAGCGGACGCAGCTGCCGTACCTCTTTCCAGCAACAAAGATCCTGCTTCAAGCCCATACGCTGGAGGAGGTGCCAAGGTACCATGCGCCGGTGCCAGTCCCCACTTTTTGACATTTGCTTCAACAAATACGAAACCTTAAAAAGATGTAATGTGAGAAAGATTGTTGTCACTGCTTTTTTTTTTTCCACGTTTCAGATCCGGCATTTTTTCGCTGATTATTTACCCATTTGTCCAAGATTGACATGCACTTGACAGGGCCCGTTTGCACCAATGGTCGGGAACAGGTTCCAGCGCAAGCCTGCACATGCATCGTCTAGTCTGCGTCCGTTCCGTGTAAAGAAAACAGTGCCCGAGCGATGGCGATATCCAACACCCACCACATCACCTTCTTCAAATGTTGCTCCATACGGTTTGCCTTGAAAAGGATTATTGAAGTGTTTATAGCCAGTGTCACTGAAAAATGCAATCGAGTGCCGATTCCAACCTACAAAAGCATACATTTGACTTAGTAAAGACGTTCACAGCGTTCGGTTATTAAATAAGTTACCTGGCAACCTAAAGTGTGGATAAGGCTTTGTTGCTACACCAACTGCAACTGTAGTTGTCGTTGGTTTTTCAAACATTTTGGCCTAACGTCAAAACAGACATAAACACACATGTAAGCATCAAGTGTTTAAGAGTAAAGGCATCATCCGATCGTCGTTGTCTTTCTCTTTACCTCCCAATAGTAAACGTCCTGGTTTCTTGGTAGTGGCAAGTTGGTTTGTACACAGCATTCCCCACTGAAAAACTGAATTTCCGTGCGTGCCGACACAAAACTGTTGGATTCCATATCCCATTCGAACTCAAAAGCTGACACGCCTTTTTCTTGTATTGACACAAACTGTGAAAGCGTAATATCGGTTGGTATACTGTCTGGAGGGTATCGTTGTTGAAATACTATATATATCACAAATATATTATTTTAATTAAAATATAACAACGATCAGCCGAAGGAGTAAAAAAGAATGCATACACAATGTCTCAATTGGCCCATACCTTTTGCTTGTTCGTAACTGAATCTCGCATCTTCTGAAAGCGTAGCTAAAAGCGCTGGCGTCTCTTCAAAGTCGCTAGCACATTCAGGGTCGTCTGTGCCGCCAAGGAACAATCGGTCACCTCCCGCCTTCGTAAAGCATAGTAGCACGATGATGACGAGAAAAAATACAACAACGCCGACAATAAATATCCACGTATAGCTGCTGTCCATGTTTTAGCGGACGCCAGTGTTCCTCTCGATAAAATGCTGGAATTCTGTTGAATTCAGTGTGTGTGTGTGTGTGTTGTGTTGTGGTTACAGTAGAATAGCAAGGGAGAGAAAAATAAGAAGAGAGCAAACACCTCGGAACCAGACGAATCGCACCGATTGCTTCCAGTCGGAGTACTGTTACCTGAACAGCCTATATGGTAAAAGCTCCAGATGCTAAGTCCACGATCCACTTAAGGCTTCCTGTAAAACCTATAGTGTTCTTTGGCTGTATCGTAGCTCTTCAACTCTTACACTCTCTCAGATATCTGTAAAGCTGCTCCTTCTTGTAGGAAGCCTTACTATGATGGAAACTCTACACGCAAGCATACAGCTGCCACCCTTTACATGCGCTGCTTTAGTGGATGCGATAAGAGTCATGTCAGAAGGCAACAATATGCCTATAAGCATTTGCGTAAAATTAGAATTGACAAGCGAGTTTAAGAACTTTCCACATGAAATACCATTATTGTTGACAGCAGCTCAAGATTAAATGTATTTGTCATGTGATTTCCAAACAAGGGATCTGTGTCATCTATCGAGCTTCAACATATTTGCCTGGAAATGAGTAGAATGTATCACCAGGAGGCTATCCTATGTAATTATTTCGTAGTCTGCAATGTCTTATCTTTGGTAGAAATGCAACGAGGCGACGTTCGCTCTATCGGTTGCTGTTCTCTCTTTCGTGCCATCAAAAACTATGTGCCATTGTTTTAGCGTGATGATAAACTAAGTGGCCGATCTCTCAACAAGATCCAGAACAAATTTGGGAAAGACAGGGGATCAAAGGGAGGCGCTGTATCAATTCTAAATTGTGCCGTAGGATGGTATATTAAAACCCATGTTACATTGCAGCATTAGTCCTTCATTTTGCATGTAGTAATTGCTGCCGCTTTCCTGAGCTTTTACTGCACTTCAGTGGTTGAACGGATCCAAATCTTGTTGAGTCTACATACAGGTCTATTAATTACTTTTTTTTATTATGGTAGCGATTATTTACAGTTGTGTCCAAAGAAGTTCTGCCTGTTCAACCGCTTGTTCAGGCCTGTCCTTGAAATAAACAAAGTGACCCTATAGATGATATATTATCAGAAATTTCTGTTTCCATCCTTTTTATACTGCCAAGAGTACTTTCGTTTAATTAAATTCTAGCTTACCTGAAGGCCAGCAGTGCTAAGTTGTCTATCTTTGACCCGCTCAAAGAACGCATCTTCCAAGTGTTTCATGTCATTGCCATAGAATCGCGAGAACATGCCCCGTATTTGAGATTCTGTAGCATTGCCGAGGTATTCCTTCAAATCCACTCTGCCAGGTCGAATCAATGCTGGGTCGAGATTTTCTACGTGGTTTGTTGTCAGAAAGATAATGCGCTCTTCAGCTGAAGCAACGCCATCCAGCGCGTTGAGGAGGCCACTGAAAGTGATCATTGATTGGTATCTAAAAGAAGACGAACGACAGGCAAAAAAAGTCGTTAGACAACTTGTTCTTCTTCTCCATTATGATATGTCGCTGCCACCAATCCATGTACCATACCCTTGACTATCAGATTGTGATCTCTTTGTGAAAGCTGCATCAATGTCTTCCAGTAACATAATGCTTCGCTCAGGTACATTGCTTAGCAAATGGTTTAGTCGATCGTCCGTCAAGCCACGTTCCGATAGATTTAGGATACAGATATTGTATTCCAATTCTCCCTAGTAGATCGCTCGTCCGTTAGCTCGCAATTCATTTTTTCAATAAATAAATGCAATGTAGTCGAACATAGAAATCAAGCATACCGCAAGAGCTTGGATGAAACTACTTTTTCCTGAACCAGGTGGACCATAAAGTAGATAGCCTCTTCTGTAAGGAATGCCTCGTTCATTGTACCATTTGCCGCTGCCAATAAATGATCGAACGTCGTCCACGATACGTTGTTTAATGCCCCCATCTAAAATTACAGAATCCAGCAATCGTCGACGACGAGGCATTCCAAAAGGACGCCACTCGGGTCCATACGATGTGTAAATAACCGTCTTCCCTTCTTGCTTTTTAAGCGCCATCTCTTGTGCTTCGGACAACAAGTCAGTAAATACATGTCGATCCCGCGAAAGAGTCGTTACTGTGATTGTCTCCCATGGACTTCCGGTAGTCAGATCCATCATTTTTCCATCCCGTTGGCGCTGCACCTTCATCCACACGCCGTGCCAGCGGAAAAAGTGAATACCAGGGCCAGGCACCAGGCCAAAGGTCGTCGATACACTGCCATTGTCGTGCTGCTTATATGAAGTCTCCACAGCTAAATGTTGCATTCGACGCTTTGGTGCTTGATGCGACATCCACTGCAGAAACCATAGATATGACTTGTCTTTGGAGGGAATCTCGAGTGTAACAAGTAGGCGCCGTTGAACGTACGATGCACCAAGCATGAGACCCTGTCGCAACAATGTCAAACCTGCACCGACACCGATCAAGCCAAAGCCTGCTGAAAAGTATGGGTTTGAGGTGATACTGCTGAGGAGACCTGGTTCTTCCTTTTTTATCTGATCGGTAACATTGGGCTGTACTTGTTGATCGCCTGCAACTGCAGGACCGGCCAGGGTGGGCCCTTGGTTTTGCAAAGGCAACATTATAAGGTTCGGTGACAAGGATTTTGCCAGGCAACTTCTCATCCAGCTTGAATTGGCAGCTGAAATCTAAGCACCGCTCAAACCTTTCCACTTTGAAATGTTGCAATCGCCCCTGTTTCTCAGTTATCAGATGCATCAACGTTATGTAACTCTGTGGACAGAATTGCAAGTGCTATCAATAGAGTCTTATACACACGTAGCTTGCGGACTCTACTATAGCGGCAACTTTAACTGTTACTCTTCATCATTGGTTGAGAGAAACCTTACCACACTAAAAGATCTGCCTTTTTGCCAAATATATCGCCAGATTATAGATTACGGCACAAAAAATAAAGACTGATTTCACATCTATTAGTTCTTATAATAAGCTTAGAACAAATGGTACAGAGGCGTTATTCGTTGTAGCAAGCAATGCGTATCTGTTTAGGCGAAAAACATGGAGATTATAATATCGAGGTGCACATATACCTTTTCAATACCAGTAGTTTCGACATTATTTGCACATACATATTAGTTGTGAACTAACGGAATCAGGACAAAGAAGCGAATGTATAAATCTACAAAAAGGACATAGCAAGTGAGCTTAAACTAAAATGCTGATATCGCCCCCCCCGATCAGCACATAGCTGAAGAACGCATCATTATAGGGAAGAAAAAAACCTGATAATACTTTAAAACACCTTACCACAGACTACCAGAACTTCATCCAAAAGCTGGTTGTAGTTTACACAAAGGATATACGTTCGGCTCAATACACAACGCGTTTGATTTTACTAGCACCACACTAATGAACGTACCCATGTCTGCACTTTATAGTAGTGTAAAACTTTAAATCAGACACATAAGCATGATACTACTCCTTTCTTTTTACAATGCGTCTTGTAACATATGCGGTGATGTCAGTCAATAAATGATATACACAAAGGTGCAATAGACTTATTGAATGGAATGCAATAAACATGACGACGGAAACTGGTATATACAATATGGTAAGTAGCACTGGCTTCAAAAGTACCGATGAAAAATTGATACTAATCCGCTACTTCTCAATAATCCTCATGAAACTACATAGCTTCATTAGTCTCTGCGTCTTCTCGGAGATCGGTCATCGCGTCGTCTGTATCTTTGTGATGACCGATCGTCTCTGTGTTGTCTCTTTGCTGAACGATCATCTTTACTATTATGCCTCCTTGGTGACCGATCTTCTCTATGGTATCTTGATGGGGACCGATCGCGCGGTGGTGGTTCGTAATGGCTAGTATGAGAAGTACGTTCCTGATGGCGATGACTTGATGTAGAACTTCTTTTTCGGGGACTTTGACTTCGATGTCTATTACTACTTGTACTTCTTCGACCGGAGGTTCTTCTGGAGGGAGATTGCTTGCGCGCTTCATCACTAAATTGACACCAGTTGTCCGAACGGCGTTGATCATGTGATATATGGTGACCATCACCACGTCCCATTCTTCTGAATGTTTTTTGCAAAGGAAAAAATAAAGGGATTAGTAGTCGATAGCACTAACAAAGTAACAGAAGAGTCTGTTAGCAAGAAGCAGAAGAAAAACTAACGCTGGCCATCGAAATGGTTTATCTCGCGCTCCAAAACGCAGTTGGCCGCTCTCCTTTTTCCCTCCAAATCCACCGCCTAGTCTACGAGGAACCCAGCCTTTCATCCCACGGCTTCGTTCATAGTCGACCAGTATGATGTGGTCGTCTAATACAGCATGATTTGCTTTATCATATGCAGTTCGTGCATTATTCTCGTGCTTGAATGTAATGAAGCTATAACCTTGGGAAGTTCCTGTCACTATAAATTATAGTTTATTTCCCTGGTTAATCGTGTTTTTTTGTTACACGCGCCCATACTTCCAAATCCCACAAAAGCGTACTCACCAAGATTATAGATCAAGCGAATGTGTGTGATTTCACCAAACTGTTCAAAATAGCTACGCAAACTTTCTGACGAGCAGAGTGAATAGTATGTTAGTCATTTTTGAGATGATTGCACGTTCCAAGAAGTTGTCTCTCTCTTTTGTCTACCTTCGGTCGTGTTGAAGTTTAAACGCCCCACATAGATCGTTTTCGCGGGATCACTCGACAGTTCCTTTGGAGGATGATCTAGTGATTTTTTGACTACTATTAAAATTTTACTGAAGTTTTGGACTAAATTACAAACGTACAGTGAGATTGCTGTGCTCGTTTAATAGCATTATCGTGAGGTAAAGCATCGGTGCCATCGATGGATCCTGCTTGAAGCGGATCGTATACTTTTGAGAACCACATAAGAAGCAGTGGTAACACAAAGTCCAATCAGGTTTTTTTAATATAACTGCTTCCTTCCAAACCGCTATGGAGTTATGATACCAGTGTGCAAATTAAGGAAATATTTATTACAAGCAAAAGAAGGATATACACATGGAAAATAAAGAGAGAACGTCAATATTCGTTATTCAGGTCGCAGCAGTAGTTTACATATTTTTACAAGTGAATAATCATGGTTTCTCGGAGACACACTTTATAAAATGACAGACGATCCAGGTTTAAGAGTAATACCGTCTTGTCGATTCAGTACACCCATCGCCTTTTCCAGCATTTCTTCTTTGACAAGAACGTAGTCGGTGTCAAAGGTGCTTACGACATATACGGGAATCTTGTTATCACGCAACGGATCAACAATGCTAGCAAGAATACCCACAAGTCCAAAATCCATCTGTGCATCCACCTGAAAGCATCGCCACCCCAGTTCACTTTTGTTGGCTGTAGAGACAATTGATCCCTGCAGTGTCGCCGGCTGTTGTGCTGGGCAAAGCAAAGAAACTTCGCTGGTCGTTTTAGAGAGCGTATACCACGGCAATTCGTTCAGCCATTCTGCTGGAAAGCGATAATCCCGGTCGAATTGGTATATGCCAAATTCGTCGGGCAGAATGAGTAGAGAAATCGTCATTTGAGAGTGAGCAATGGGGACTAAAATCGAGAAAAGAAGTGCTGTTGGTTGAGGTTCTGTCTGAAAAGACCGTTTCTGTGGAAAATGTGGTCGCCGGCAGTACGTTCAGCCGCTTATAGCCAGCAGTATTTGGGCAACAGCAAAAAAAAGCTGCGTTTTACGGGAAGTTTGCTTTCTTTTTTATTTTGAGCTTCTTGATCACTGTCTCGCTCACCCACTGTACACGCTGTACGAAAATCCCCTACACAGCTATTTTCCCCTTCCTTTGACCCACATGATCTTTCAAGGATGCCGATTCAAGCACCTGTTGCCGAGCAAACAGCAGCGACAACCGCGAATCGATACTCTGAAACCCACTCAATCAACAACGGCAGTTCCACGTTGAAAAAAATCAAAGTTGAATCGACAAACGACACCAACGAAGGCCAAAATGCTGAAGGGCCGAACGCTTTAACGAAAAACGAAGAGTATGCTTAGCGACCTGTGCGGTCGAGACTGAATCAGGACTGATGCGATCTCTTTCTCACCTTGACAAAATATTATATGATAGCTATCAAAGCACATTGAATGCTTTGAATCTCCTACACCACCAGTTGAAAAAAGCAACTAAAGATATTGAAACGCTTAACAAATTGAAAAGAGAAGCGCTCGATAATCCATATGACTTTTTGGTCGATCTCAAAGAAAAGGTATGGTACGGAAGTCTACCTGAAAATATAGCATGCCATATCTTATGTTTATTCTTTCATTCTAATAGAAATCATCTAAACGTCGCGTACCAAAACTACAAAAAATCGCATCCGTCCCTACTATTGACTGGTCCAAATATCGATTTCTGCCTGACAGTCGTATTGCAGAACAAACTGGTAAAATTTTATTTTATATTATTAAATGTTTCATTCTTGTTAAAAAACGTGAACTGTGCTAAACAGGACATATGTTATGTAGCATATCTCGCTGCTTTGGCACAAAATATCAACAAACCATCACCAGCATATCGGGTAAGGCGGTGATAGCGGGGATATTAATGTATTCTAAAAAGTTAACTTTGCATTTGTATGGAAACCTAACGCGGTACTATTACATAGAATATCTTGGATCATGCCGGTCCATTTTATCGACAAGAACCAAATTCACCATCCGGTACAGTGAGCTATTTACAACGAGAGACAGCAAGAGTGGCTCGTACAGTTAGAGAACTACCGTCAAGGGCAGGATCGGTTTCTGATGGATCTGATCGAGAATCGGATGATGAAGGACCCAAAAACAATTCTGGCGCTGTTGGACAAGGTAAAGGAAAACGAAGGACATCAGTAGCACAGGGTGGCACAATCACACCTAGCGAACCAGCAGAAAGTGTAGCCATCATGTGGAGACCAAGTCAAAGGTAAACAAATTTGTCTTGCAGTTTTCATGAGTTTCGCAGTCGACTTATCAATACATGTGCGTTAGCGCTACTCCACGACTTCCCTTGCCTACGAATGATTCGGATGGGATCGATGAGATGCTGCTGGAACATGATATGGAGGTAAAATCTTGCGATTATGCATATACCTACGTGTATGTTGGTTCCCGTGTTAATGCCGTGTTACCTTTTAGCTGGAAACCAGGGCTCCGACATATAATCAACCATGGTCCGATGAGGAACAGGTAATTGTACAATTGGATTTCAGTTATCTTTATAGTTATGTGTACACCTGCTCTAATAATAAAACGGTATTATAGCGTCGATTGGAGGAACTACTAGAAATCTATCCTGATGAACAGGTGCAGGCTCAACGGTTCAACAAGATATCGAAGGCACTAGGGACACGGTCGGCAAGACAGGTGGCGAGTCGTGTTCAAAAATACTTTATAAAACTAGCCAAATTAGGTTTACCTGTTCCTGGGAGAGTTTCTATTCCAGTAAGTTTTTTATGCTCTCATTGGAATATAGATGAGGAAAAATGTAGTTCTGTTTACTGAAAGATTTCATTCATTATCATTATAGCCATCTTCAACAACCAAACATTCGCGAGGTGGTGGCAACAGGCGGGGTAAAATTTCCAAAGTGAAATCGAGAGGTGGCTCCTCTAGTGCTAGTAGTAATAGTACTGCCAATACTGCTGCCGCTTCCGCTGCTTCTGTAGCAAGGACCGCAAAACCAGCAATGCGAACTTCCGGTGCGGGATATAACACTATGGTCTCTGGGGGTATCACGAACACTAGGTATGGAAAAAGGGCTAAGGAAAGGAAAGGAACAAGCATCGTGATTGACATATTAATCAAGTGAAGAAAATGTTATGCAGAATTTCAGGAGCGCATTATTTGACCACGCATGGACCACCTTCTGCTCTGATGTCTGATGATGAAGATAGCGATGTAAAACAAGCGATGCTGAACGCTACTAATCCAAAAGCGGCAATTCAGGTAACTTAAAAAGCGTAGACATGAATATGTATGTCGTGTACTAATATGCCGTATCCATAATTAGCAAGTGGAAGGCACGGGTGGCGATCCATTATCCAGTGCATCGATTATACATGAAGGATATGCTGTAAGTAATGATAACTATAGTAGTATGCTTACTAGACTTTTGTAACGTGTGATTTACACATGTATTATATATCCTCTAGTGTGATGGATGTGGTACGGAACCGATTGTGGGCGTACGGTACAAGTGCACAGTTTGCGATGTCAGTGAAGAGATTGATCTCTGTAGCAAATGTATGGCAGCAGGCACTTTCCAAAACGGTATGTTTATTACTACTTTAGGCTATATATACTGCTATTTGTTGTATATTGATGAAACCTTTTGAGTGTAGATCACCATACACCGGATCATCCTTTTGAGGCTATCCATGTAGCCAATCCGCTTCCGTACTATGCTGATAATGATTATGCCCCGAACGAATATTTGGGCGAATACAGTTATCTTGGCCTCTAGTACCATCAGCAATAGTAATACTAGTAATTGTGTTGCATATATGTATATATTGTGTAGAATAATAGTAGCTTATAAAAATGACATATTCAGGGCATACATTCCATATTCAGGGTGCTTAGGAGGAGGGGGAGGTGGGTATACGAGCTTTGCGATTTGTCGTGCTATACATACATAAAAGTGAATGAGTGGCTCAAGTTCTTGGGAGAACGGGGGTTTGGCGTAATGCAAAAAAGGAAAAGAAGAGAAAATTCAAAAATGAGCACTATCACTATGTTTTAAACATACATAATAGTGCCTGTTGCTTATGTGTAAAGACAGTTAAATTGTATGCTTATTGCATCGCACTATGATAATGCATGCGGTTTGCAAGGTCTATTCCGTCACGACAAACCATGGTCGATTTGCACCAGCCATCTGTAGCGAGAATATCGTCAGCAGAAATCCGGGATTGCACATTGATGTCGAGCATACGATACAATAGGCCCTGAGGACCTGACGGTATGTCGGTAAACAAAACAAAATTTCCTTGGCATTTCAAAAACTCGCGGTAACCGGCATCACTTGGGGACGCTTGTTTCCACGGCAACCCATTACGGTATACACAATACAGAACGATCCCAGCACTCCAAATATCTGCAGCATCAAGTCGTGTAATGTTAACTGCTGAGTAAGTGCCCGAGTCTACTGTTCTTTTGCCTGTCAAAAGCAGCTCAGGAGCTATGTATGGAACCGAGCCGACTTTGTGCACATTCTGCTCCCAAGGCAGCACTGAAGTATTGTCATATGGCGTACGAAACACAGTAGCAGATCCAAAGTCAGCAATCTTGAGCTGACCCCGTGCAGTCCATAACAGATTCTCGGGTTTCACGTCACGGTGTGCAACGCCTAGCGAATGCAAATGTGAAAGGCCACGGATCAATTGCCTGAAACAACAGGCGCGTTCATATTCGCTATTCATCCTGCCATCCTTAATGCACTCAAATAAATCGCCTCCATTACACTAGATTCAGAGAAAGCACAGCGGATATGTATACTTAGTACAATGCAGATAGTTAAGAATACACTTTGCATGAAAGATGTCTGAATACATACATATTCCATTACTGTGCAGTATACATCCTCCTTCAGCACTAAATCTAGCGTCGTCACGATGTTGGGATGGGAACTAACCGACGAGGCGATACAGTACTCGCCTGCAATGCGTTTCATGTAGTCTTTAGCGCTCTCGCTACGTCTGCGTTTTCGAAATCGTTTGACAGCGTAGACCTTGGCGTCGCGTTTATAGATCAACACCGTGCTGTTAGATCCTTCGCCTATTCGGCCGCATGATTCGCCATACATTTCGACTGTTTTGCGCGTTTTGTTCTTGATAGAACTGACAGGTAGTGCAGAAACGTCACTGTTGCGCAAACAATTCCAAGAACGACTTGGTGTCGGCGAAGGGGGTTGCTGACAAAGAGCTGTAACGGTTGCCGATAACTTCTGCTGCCAGCGATCATCCCTCGACGACGTTGGCGACGGCGACGGTGACGGCGGGTCAGTCATTAAAGGAAGGATGAATTGGTCGCAGAAAGTACAAAGAAAAGGGAGTTCGGGGGAGAACGGCTTGTCAGAGACAGCAACAAGAATCCTTCCCTATCTCGCCAGAGCCAGAAAAGAACACGTATAAATAGCAGATTTTCAAAGTTATACTACATTAGGCTCCAAGTAGAAAATGAAGCACAGCTGCCCAATAGCACAAAGCACGCTTTTTTTTCACGACCCTGTCGTACAAAATCCCAATATAAACCCTTCATGACAATATAGAAAAACAAGAGAATTTATTTTTCTTTCAATACAAAAACATTGAGGTGTTTTTATATCAAAAAAACATTTACTCGGTTTCGAGAACGTTACGCTCAGAAACGTAGATACCGTCCAAGAACTTACGGATATCCTTGTTCTTGACGCGGCACATTTGCTGGATGTCAGCAGCAGACTGAGAGACGTTCTCAAGATCGTTGCCAGTGATGATCAATTCGTCCTTCTGGGCCTTGGAAGCCTCGCAGTGGACACCCTCACGCATCTTGACGTTGAACACGACCTTTTGACCCAAGAAGTTACGGATCTCGACAGCATTGCCCTCGTTGTTGATAATGACGTTGATGGGAAAATGTGCGTATACGTAGCGCATCTTGTATTGGAAGCCCTTGGTGACACCGGTGATCATGTTGTTGACAATCGAACGGACAGTGCGAATGGCAGCAACGTGCTTACGAGCACCGTGGTAGACGACGAAGCGAAGCTTGTTCTTACCATCGAACTTCATCTCAATGTTCAAGTGACGAAGGTTCTTGGTAAGCTCACCGCGGGGACCCTTGACGGTCACGACGCGAGACTTGACGTTAACAGTAACACCCTCGGGAATAGCGAGTTCGTCGTCCTTGTAAATGTCCTGTAAAGATCATAGGCACAAGCACAAAAAGTGCAAAAGTCGATTAAGTTCCTTTCCTTCACGAGAAAACACACACTCTAGCTATGTTGGTTTTGCTGATTGTAACACTCAAAAACTGAAAGAAGCTGTACCTTCATGGTCGATTAAATTCCCTGTTCATTTAAAAAAAAAGGGAAATTGAGTAAGTATTCGAAAAAAAAAGTATCCATCCATTACATCCATGACTCGACATCTCTTCATCCATCCACCGATCCATCCATCTACGTATGCGATTGTCCATCCATTTATCCTTTCAGGCCCTTGGATCTATCGTCCATATTTTCGATAGCTACTTACCAAATATCACACGGGGCAAAAGAGGTCGTTCATGGTTCGGCATCGTCGACCAGCAATAGCCTTTCCTGACAAAATAACTCCGCTTGAAAAAAAAGGAAGAAGTGTCGTAGGTTGAAGGAATTAAACCATCCTGAAGGAACCCATTTCCCCCTCTCACGACGAAACAACAAGCATCACTCTTCGTTCGATGGTAGCATTACATTGGAATACAAAGGTGACGATAATGTTTATTATATGCAAATCTTATTATGAAACAGATTACAGAGCCTCAAAATATCGCAAATGCTATGCTCTATGCTTTGTGCTTGTGTGAGTGAATTTGTGTGTATAATGGTACAGTGTGCGTGCTGTTGTGGCAATGATAGTAGTATGATAGTGAGCCATTTATGCTCTGTGTTTGACGTATCTATTAAGGTGCACAATAATTAGGTGTAAGTCGTTGGTTGCACATTGACGTCAACATACACTCTGAAACGCATTTAGAGAAATAAATACCTCGAAACATTATCGAATAGCCGTTCAAAATCAGGTGCTGCGTGGATGAAGTTATGCTGCCAAAAGTTTGGAGTACTCAGCAGTTCAATAAAAGTAGCAAGCAAACCCCAAGGATGGGGACGATTCACAATCAATCGTTCCAATAGAACTCTGGAAAAAGAATTTTTTGTTCATGAGGAAAACGTTTGTTCTTCTATGGACTAAGAGAAAGATGAGACTTACCTGGTGATATTTTCCTTGACATCTTCGGCTTGAGTAGCAAAGAGATGGAGCACCACGGTGCGGAAAAAGTAAGTATGAGTATTTGGATATCTCAATTGATCAACAATTGTATTGAGAAGCAGATATCGCCCTTAATAACGGATAGAGCTAAAGTTAGAAAATGACATTACGTATCAAACATACATTATTTTCATTTACCTTGCGGGGACATTTGCTCTAGCAGGTATATATACACCAGCACAGCTGGGTTCGAGCCGATATTTTCGTATGAAATACTGTCGGCTTCGATCGTCTGTACGCCGAGGAATAAGACCAAAGCCTCCATACGGTCAGCATGATAGGGCACAGATGCATCAGGATCAGTAGACTTGCTAAGGTCCTTCTTCAAAAATTGTAGTGCCTCGTCAACGAAGGACATGTTGTCGTCTTCTGTTCTGATTGCCACGTCATTGCCTTGAAGATACCGAACTGCTTGTGATTTGATTAGTTCTGTTTGGCCGCTGCTATTGATGTCACCGTCAGCGTCGCTATCGTCACCATCCACATCGGTAGTAGTACGTGAAAGCAATTTAACATAGTCTGTTGAAATGTCCGGGTTCTCGTTGTATTCGGGTAATCCATCCAGTTCCATATCCGGCGCTGAGGGATCCGGTAAGCGCATGGTTCTTGGGAAGGCACTTAAAATCAAATTGCGAATTTGCACACAGCTGTATGGAATCACCGTAACAAATTCCATATAATAATGGCTGAGGAACTCGGGAAAATCATGCAACAGCACGACTAATGTACGCAGTGTGCTGCGATAAAACAGCTGAGCGGACTGTGCACCAAGACCGCCTTCATCGACGATCATGCCCAAAAAGTCGAGCAAGACAACGATAAGTTTACGGCAAAGTTTCCAGCGTTCCGGATCGCTACCGGCCAGAAGGTCAGAGAGCAACACACGGTGGGAAATAAATTGCAGCCAGGAGAAAGCAAATCCAGGCAATACAGTAGGTCTGATGCTGTAGAGAATTTCACTAATGAAAAGGACGCGACAACATATTATCAGAATTTGGCTGCTCAAAGAACAAATGATTCGAATAATGAACTATTTTCTTACCTGAACGACACCACCGGATTAAGGGCAGGTGCCTTCTTGCTCACTTCGATATAGGATGAAATAAACAAGCGAAGGAAAGGTCGTTGGTCAAATTCGCGTCCTTGGACTTCATGACAATGAGCAAGCAGCAAAACGCAAACCGACAAGGCATCGGTTAGAAGTTTCGCTGCAGCTTCCGGATGACCCTTCTTGGTTGCTTGAACCGAAACCATACAAGCAACAAGTTTTGCGACAGAGTCAGTCGATTCCTTCATTCGCGCTTGCTGTGGCAGCGGTAAGGTACAGAACGTCAGATATTGCTGGATTGATGTTTGGATGCATAATCTCAAGAATGCACTTTGCTTTTCTTTACTAGCCGTGATCTTCTTCAAAATCTATTAGTAGGCATATGCCCCTATTAGCACTGTGATATCTCACTATTTCGTGTCTCTGACATATATTACTAGTTTTATTCTTACCTGAGAAGCGAATGAATCCAACATAGCTTCAGATGACAACGGATGTAGGCAAAATCGTGTCCATTCGGCCAACATCATCCTCAATTCCAAATAATCCAGTCCAGAGCTTTTAACGCGCATGTATGGTTTCTCATATTGAGCTCGTAGATCTGAAATAACAGTGAGAACTCTATCAAAAGACATGTTAGTATTTATAATGATTTTACTGAGTAACCCCTACATTTGCTATGCATTTTGCAAACTTACGAAGGAGGTGCTTCTCCGTCATGAACCAGTTGATTCAAAGCTGCAACCGTCAGAACATGATCTTCCAAAACTGAGTCTTGATTGTTTGCAAGTAGACAAAGTCGTATCAGTGTTGCTGCATAATCCATAACACCGTCGGCCTTGGCACGAATCAATCGAGATAACTGAATATCGTATTCTTCCATCGGTATCAAGTCATAAGACATACACATTGCAGTTACTTGGGCATTATATTTGCGCTGCGGTAACAAAGTTAAAAAGAAGCACGGTATAAAAAAGATTGATTAGAGCGGAAGGCCACAAACATATACCTCAAAGTAAGCGCTTATTGCAATCTCATTCCGATTTGATCTTTTACTAACCTCGTCATCAGCATACATGAGCCAGCCGATCACCTCTTTAGCAATTATGGGATATAGCTCGAGAATGATTTGCAGTAAGACGGTGTATGCCTCGAGTGTAACCAAGTTGTTACTCTCATAGAGAGCCAAAGCAACCTTTTCAGTAAACGTTTGCATGTGTTGGGCCGGTATACCGTTGTCGCGAAGGAACATGAAAAGTTGTCGCAAAAACTGATAAAGGTCATGGTCTGGGGGAAGCTCTTTGAATTTTTGTACGTTGGCGCTGGATGCTTGTCGAACATAACGGTCCATCTCTGCCAGTAATGCCTAGATACAAAGAAAGTACATGATGCACAACTGAGTATTACTAATCATCTTTACTATTCACTTAGCATGTACAGTTAGCAATGAAGGGTTACCTCCGACTTTACGTCCGAACTGCCAGCACCGCCAGCAACAGCACCATTATCATGACGAGGAGAAGTAACTGATTCTCCTGGTGATCTCGACGGATGATCTATTCATATAATAACAATAACCGTCGACCGTTGTCAGAATAAAGAAGCATAAGTCTTTCCGTGACTTATAGATCAAAAAACGTACTGCCCACTAAGCCATTATCAGGAAAATTTGCAGCTCTCGCTTCAGTTGCATGAATCGGCAACTGGTCAAATGCATCATAAACATGCATCTATAGTCATTGTAGGTAATCACAACATATGGTTATATATTAAGCACAATATATACGAGCGAACAAGCAGAAGTGACAACAAGAAACATACCTGTTCCGGATCAAGGCTAGAGTTCGGTCGCAATGCCTCTGGTAGACTGATATTGTGTGGCGATCCTTGGAAGCTCAGTACATCAAAATAAGGGGCCCGGATTTGTTGCTAAACATAAAGAAATTAGGTTATTTGTATTAGCTTAAAAGCAAAAGGCTGGCAAAGTAGAAGCGTGTTATCATACCTCTCTGTGCACTCGTCGGCTGTTGTACGAAGCAGCAATCACCTTATCAACTTCATTAATAGCACGCATTTGGCCAAGTTGATCAACAAACGCTTCCATTAAATCCATATTATCCAAAATCACGGATCCGCCAATTTCATCTGCAGCAGCCTATATTTTTTTCAAAGACATTAGTTTTACAGTTCATGTATATGTTCTTTTTGAAATGGTGCTTTTTCCTTTGCGGTACCTCTGGAAGCTGAATTTGAGAAAACTGTGCCCGAATTGTATTGATGATGCTATTACACAACGGCTCTTTACAAGTTGCCACTGACAGACTGCCAGCCAATGTGCCCACCATTCTGTGTGCTGCCCGTTTCAGCTTCATCTCATCGGAATCTGTGGCAAAGTCCTTTAATACAAGGTGTCTTGCAGAAGTGCATGCGATGTTCGCAGCTGTTGCAATAGCCGGGGATGCGACCTATGTGATAGTATAAGTTACGTTTAGCAATAGTGACATTGTAAATGCAAGTTTTTCTCATTGTTGTCGCTAATAATAATGCAAGTTACCTTTTTATAGGATTCTGAAATAGCATTGAACACAATTCTCTTGGTGATTGGTTGCTGTTCAAAGGTATGAAGCACAGAAGGGCTGAACTGCAGTCTGGTCATTAAAGATGACACGTCGATATTGAAGGGTTTCTCTTCATCTACAGAGATATACCATTGGTAAATACTAATGAAAATATCGTATCTTTTTGCGAGATTTTGATGATACCTCCGGGCCAAATCCGTTGATCATCGTCACGAATATCATCAAGCTTGGCCTGAAAAGGAGCAGGTACGCTTGTTGACATTTGCGACAATATTTGAGGCTGCTCATGCTCTGCTTCTATGCCGTTGAGACCAGGAGGGCCAGGCTGTTGTTGTTGCTGCTGCTGCTGCTTCTGCAGTCGCTGTTGCTGCTGTTGTTGCCTCTCTTCTAGTAATGCTGTAGGCTCAATTTCTGTATGTATAGGAATGTCAGTAAAGCGTATATGCAACTCCTCCCTTGCTTCCTTTTTCCTGAATATATCAGTTTACCATTTAAGTCCAAGTTTAGTGTCTTGTATAAAAGTTCGATCTCGAACTTTAGATTCAAACGTAAATCTTCATGCCAGTAGAGTTCTGCCAACAGCTTCAATATCCTCATCAGCCATGGATTTGGTGGTTTGAATATCTTGCTTTCTTGGGCTTCTTGTAGTACTTTGCACGTTAAAGGAATGGCAAGAATGAGCTTGTTACGGTCATATGCATCCAAAAGCAAATCCTAATACACCCGTCATGCGTTTTTGAGTATGTGTGCATATATCAGCTGGGTTTCACAGATGGTCATTTTTGCATTTTTACCTTGAAGGACAAATCTTTGTGACGAATAGGTTTATTCTTAGCAAGCGTCATCCGTCCGAGCCAGCTGCCCAAGGCCTTGAGGGCATTACGATCGGTTTGGGATGCGGGAGTCCCTTCTGCGTGGAGTAGAATCTGTATGTTCTTGTATGTTTCCTCCACAACCATGTCACAGAGGGGTGGTTTCTCTAGCGTCTTGAGCAGCGAAGCATAAAGCTCGTGGTTATTCCGTTCCTGCGTCACTCGACGCACCACAAGATAGTGACTGAACCAACCCCATGCAGGTTCCTCCAGAAGCGGATCCACCTGCGCAACCTTGTCTTCCAGATTACTTAAGGAAAGGTTATTGATAGCGAACGCAATTTTCTCTTGCACGTCAGATGGTGGTGGAGTATACGTGTTTGAATTGGGTGACGATGATGCTTTTTCCAGCAAAACGCTGCCAGCTTGTTGTTTCATACCGGGGCTGCTGATGCCATTGTTATCGACTTGCTGTTGTCTTGCTTGTTTCTGTTCTCTTGCTGCTATCGTTGTTGCCGAAGAAGAGGCATTGGTCCTTTCAGACACAGATGGCGAGTTCAAGATCCTTCCTTCGCTATCGATGTTAGCCGTGCTTGCAAGGTGCTGTAGAGTAGTCGCGATACTGTCCATAACAGGTGGGTATTCTCTGAGGCCGGCAATCTTGGATAGCAGCATGGTATATTGCGGCCATTCGGACAAGCGGTTTCGGAACTGTGCCAAAGCAAGCACGCCAAAATTGAACATTTTTGTGCCAAGTGGGTGATTCAATGCGTCGAGTACGTGTTTGAGCGCGAGACGTAGTAACGAGAATGAGATCAGATGTCTGTCTATCAATAAACCGAATAATTTGCCCGTAACAGCAAGCTCGTGGTCGGGATACTGGTTAAAGAACCGTGCTTCGTCAAGCTAGTAACAGATGCATAGTATACATTAGGTTTAGAATGCTCTTTACCGTTGCCCTGTGCTGTTTAATCTATTACAGCTATACATTACCAAGGTATGCACAGTGCAGGAGAAAAAATCCACTTGCTTAGGATCCTTTGAATCATGACAAGCATGGAGCACAGTGATGAACTGTTCGGCGGACAGTTCGGCAGTATACAGTCGCTCAAAATAGGATCGGACCATGTCTTCGATCTCTGCGGATGGATCGCTATTCATGTCAGGACCGTATCCAGGCGGTAACGAGCGCTCTTCAGAGGGACTGTCATCGTCCAGCTGGGAAAGCATCTGAGAATAAAACTGCATAATTTTCCAGAGTTTCTCGCCTTCTTGTTGAGGAAGAGGACTAGAAAAATCAAAGCGAAATGTGCAAAAGTTGTCAGCAGGCCACATGACCCTGATATCATGCGAGCTTTTTCATCGTCCATGTCTCCACAGTAAATTCCCAGCATAGTAGACAGTAGCAAACCTTTCTGATAAGACACGGAAAAAGATTCGAACGATGCCTTTAGACAAATGCACTGATGCCACATTGCTGCCTCCTTGAGAATGGCGAACCATTTCATCGGTGCACTTTTTCTCCAGGAAGTCGATACATGCAACTGCAAACGGTGCACCATCTTCGCTAAGTCGTTCTGTCAACCATTTCGCTAAGTTCAGATTTTGTCTCCGAGCAGCAAGAGCCGCCAGATCAAGTGTGAAAAATGGTACGTCGGCATGTAATATATGAACCAAGATCTAACCATGGTACATAATAATTGTAAGCATATGTGATGGTTTAAAGCCATATGTTCTCGATTCTCTTTTGATTTTAACGCGCAACAACTTTTTTCATTCCCATTTATACCTTTGCTTCCTGTGCAATATCAAGAATTCGTGGCACTGAAGTCGGATCCTTCTTGTACATGTCCAAAAGCCCTTCGAGCAGTAACGTTGGTTGAACGCGCCATAAAATCGATATCACCAACGAAGTATTTGCGTGGCCGATCAAGAAAATGCTGAGCAGCTTGATCAATAAATCTCGATGTAATCCACTTCTAATTGGCTTTTGCGAGAAATACTTTCAAGTTAGCGAACAAAAGCACGCGAGTCGAGCATTTGAAATGATATTGGAACTATGCAAAGATATACTAACCTGTAATTGAGCAAGTCCGAGTAATAGTAATTCTGGAGTTTGAAGTGTCAATCGATCCAACAACACGCGTACATCATCACTAGTCGAAGTCTCTGCAAGATCCAAGATTGCACCGATAATCTCGACGCAATTCAATTGGGATGCTGCTAACCGGATTGCTATTGGCCGTACCGATACATGTAAGCCCATGATGTGCACAGGTCGGATAACGTTGGTCGTGGTCGGATTGTTGGCTAAATCCAAGAGATCGATAGGCGCGCACAACATATGATACAATATACTCAATTGACCTCGGACATTCTGCCATGGTCTAAAGAATGCATGGACTGGGAATGGTTCGATATTGGCTTTGCCCTGGTTATCAATTAAAGTTGGGTAAAGGCGCAGTTAGTTGATTTTTGCATGATTTCATTATGAAAAGAAATGAAGCATTCTATAACGTACACGTTGGCTATAGTTCCATGCATCCACAAGGATCTTGAGACCCGGCTGATCATAGACTACCATATCAGCTTGATCTAACTTGACCATGACTGATGCCCAATTCATTGAAGGGTTCTAAATAGCAGTACGGTCATCGATATAAATGTGAGAATGACAAATTCTTCCCGAACCCTACCTCTTTTTCCTGATCCTTCTGTTCCCCTCACCCCTCTCCTCACGCCCCTCCGGCAACCCCTCCTCCGAAAACAGCAAACCAACAAATTAAATAATACAATGACATACTATATTCCTGACGGCCTCTACAAAGTTGCCAATTTCCCATTTTTGTCCTTCGTTGGCGCCCGGTAAACTTGAGTGCGTACGCACCATCATTGTCAGTACTCGCGCAACGGCATCTTCTTGTACGTAATCCACACTTATAGCCACGACCCGCATGGCATTGTCAATCGTCATTGTAGATGCGTAACCCGCTTCAAATAATGCTTTACTTAAAGCAAAAGTGTCGACTTGTTGTGACATTGCTCTTTTTCTTTTGTAATTTGTCTTTTTGGTATAAGTCTCTCTAACTGGTTGTCGGTTGCAATTAATGTTTTGTAAGTCGTTATCGTTCGCACTGAAGACAGCGTTTTCGAGATTTGGTAGTTGTCCACACCCAAGGGAGGTAAAAGAGAAAAAAAAAGAGTTAGGAACCAACGATTAGCTTTCCGAAACTTTCTTCGTTGAAATAAGGGCAAAGGAAAAAAAAGGGATCATCCGTCGGCTGTTTTTATTAAATCCACTTTTTCAGATCCTTCCAGATATAAAACTAGCGACTCACACAGTAACCTTCTTTAATCAGTGTTTGATTAACAGAGCAATAGAAAGATGATTGCAAAGAGAGGGAAGAAAAAGCGAGGCAAAGGAGGGAAGGAGTTCTTTAAAGCGCGTGGTGCGTGGTCAACCAAGAAGGTCGTGACTATCCTTAATGCAACTGCGACAGGTGTGTGCGTCCTTTCATAATTTTGTGTTTCCCAGGCCACGGCTCATACTCTTCTTTCATTTTTATTTGATGGCGGTCCTTGATTTAATACAAGCATAGATGTTGTAAAGCACTTATTAGGCAGACATGCACCCTTCTGGAATTTATCCTTAGCATGTCATATGCATAAGGAACTCGGGACACAAGTAACTGGCTTACGATCCACTAGTGGTTAGTAGCAGTAGCAGCACCGTTCTCCAGACGGGTCCCTTCGCATCATTCTATGTCATACAGCAAATTTGAAACGTAACTGTAATATGAAACATGCAAATGTTGTATGTTGGATGGTAGCTGCATTTTAAGCTACGTAATTAAGCTACTTTTGGACCTTTTTCTTATGCTTACACCGATGATGTGTGAGCACTTAACAAACCTAATTCTCTGCTGTAAATAACCAACATTGACTTTATGAAGGAGCACACATAGAAGAGTGTTTATAAACAAGAGAAAACTAGATTATGGGTCCTGTTCACTTTAACTGTCATGTACCGCATGGTGTTATAATAATGCTGACACACAATAGTAAAAGAAAGAGACAATTGCTAGCTCTGGCAAAGTCCCCGCCTCGGGTAAAAGGAGAAGGGGTTTCTTTTATAGCCTGTCAGTCCACACCGAGGCTTTATAGGGAGGTCGCATTGACGCTACATACTTTACCATCGCTGCTGATCTGTATAATACAAAACCTAATTAGTACGACAATTCTACTCAAGTACTTCACAATAGACATTACAGTAATGCACTGTAGTGTTCTTTACTGCCGTTTCCCTTTTTTTCCATATTCAAGTACAAGCTAGAAGTAATTTGGAACCTTGTATATGAGCCTTCTTTATGAACATGACTCCAAATTATAAAGTACTAGTAAACCCGACTCCTTCGATCGATGTACTATACATTTGACTTCTCCCCATTTTCTCTCTTTTGCCCTCAATGAAGATATGGGGTGCGCTTCTCCTTCTTCAGTGGCCCATTTTATATACCGTACTCCTCCTTTATCGAGTCAACTCTTTTTTTTTCCAACTCCCTTTTTTCGAAAGTCTGTTCTTGGCCATTTTTTTTCCGTCATCAACATCTCCTTGTTCACTTTACATTTTGCACGTTCTTTTTCCTCTTGTTTCTTGCGAATAATCTATAATAATAACCATGGTTGCCGGCGATTGGTACGAATACCACGAGAATTCAGGTAATATATTGATACAACAATGGCAACGGCGGCGACAAAAGAACAACATGTGTTTTGGTGACAGCAACACTCAGCATTGATGCTGTGTAATGAAGTAATAAATTATTGTAATAACGTCCGTGCCCACTATCTTTATTGCGTAACTTCTTTTGATTAAGTGGATGACGAAGGAAGAACCAGCGATGACAGCCCATACCAAGTGCACCACCAGGAGGATGATATCAAGGAGTACGAACTACCGCCTTCTGCCACTGCCACCACACCCACAGCCAACACGGATGGCACAAATGCCACTACGGGCACCGCTATCAATGGTGCTGCAGCAAGTCCCACTAGTATAAATGGATTTCACGATGCTAACAGCGACGGTTACGATGGCCACATTGATGTGTTTTCTTCGTCCGAAAGCAAAACAGCAGACCGACAATGTAGCAGCAGCAGTTTTTTTGCTCGGCTGACATCTATCCCTCTGGTACAGGATGGCATTTCCAGTGCCAACAAAGTAGTTCAACAACATGCGCTTGGAAGATTCGCTGGTCGGACGCTTTCGACGCTTGTAGCAAAGACTCAAACATATATTCCGACAGACGAACAAAGCCGACTGTATGGTCATCTCGAACGCGCGAATGCCCTAGGCAACATGTCGCTGGATCTTGTGGAGTCTCAGTTCCCCTTAATGATGCATGCGACCAGTAATGATCTCAGACATGCGCCGAATCTCATGGCGGGTGAGATTAGGGGTCGTATCGGTACAGCTATTAATCGATTCCGCGCGCCTGCGGATGCCGCGACAAATGATGTGAGTCGGCGTATGGCACAGGTCATGGATAACGTTGAGGCTGTGCTAGACCAATACTTTCCGACCGATGAAGAAGGCGAAAAGCTACAACAGCGCCAGCAGCAACAGCAGCAAATGCAAGAGGACGAATTGATCGATCCACAGGACGGACAGCGTTTGGATGACGGTGAAGGCGGTACGGAACAAGATATTCATTCGTATAACCAGCTGCTGCGCATGTACCGTATAGCCAACTCGCTCTCTATCCGAATTGCACGAAGAATTGCCATCCAGCTCGACAAAAGCAAGTCGGTATCGAAAGACAGTAATGGTACCGAGAATGTTGAGCTTTCTCAACAGCAGCAGCAAGAACAAGCCGCTGCCATAATGAAGCTTCGAGGATGGCTTCTAACGCAAACCCAGCAACTCGTCGAGCATCTCGATATCTACAAATCTCAGTTGCCCGAGCCGGTCCAAGCGCATGTCGTTCAGCCATTTATTCAAATCGCCCAGAAAGAATACGAAATTCTGCGTCAAGAAATTGACCGCACGGATATTTCGCATATCCAGCGCGCACGCAATATGCTTGTTTTGTCTCAAGACATGGTGATTATGCCATTATTACAGCAATCGGTCGAAAGCATGCGCAGCCATGTGGTGTCGTATCGGACGATGGCCCAGCAAAATCGAGCTCAGGTGATGAACGAGCTCTCTGTCAAGGTTCCTTTCCTCGCCAGTATTGCCCCCATGTCGGCATTTGCTAGCCATCATTTCAGTAGCAAGAAACCTACGGAAACAGAAGGCAAGAAGAAGTTGAACGGAGTTCATCCCCCGGACGAAGACATGATGAAAACCCCTGCCGCTGCTGCCGAAGCGTGTTAATAGAATCTCGTTCTGACCTTGCCGTTTACTACGTTATAGTGGTATAAGGCCTTCCCATCTCTCTTTCCGGTCAAAGACATATAACAGTCCCGTCATAAAAACAAAACCAACTTTCATCAAATCCATAGTAATACCTTCTCCCTCTTTTTGTAGTGTAGTTTTACCTTAGTATCCGTTCCTCTCTAGCCCAAATGAATAAAAATGCTTGACGTGCTTACATGGAAGTAAAAAGACTGACTATCGTTTTACACCAATTTCCTCAATGATATGCCATTCGCAAAAAAGAGATGTAAATATAGTTGTTAACATTGTTTATTGCACAAGACTTATACTGAATAGCAACTTACAGTTCTTAAATTAGTTATTAAACCGGTTTCTTTCCTTCAGAAAAACTGGTTAGAAAATGTCATACTGTAGGACACTACTGTATACTACAGCTCACAAAGAAAGCTATCCAAAGGACTTGATTTTCAGGTTACTTTCATACAAGGTACTGTCAGCTGCTCTCCCGCATACAGGTCATATGACGAATTAATCCAGCAAGTTGAATATATGAGTAAAGAAGGAGCTGTAAGTTCCGTCGTGTTGTTTGTTATCATTGAATTACACTATGTAAACTAGTAGCAGTACATAACAAAGGGGGAATATAGAGAACGACGGTAGCTAGCTAAAAAGAAAATATTCTAGTGGTCCACGTCATCGACTTCCTGGATGCAGTACTTCTTGTTGTTCGAGAGGACACCGGCTTGCAAAACAGCAGGAAGCTAAATTAATTGCAAACGATTAAAAAAGCAGAACCAGTCAATTAGTATATGACTACCATTTATCACCAGCTGAACAAATGTAAATCGGCAAAAGATATGGTTTTAGATACATACAACGCCAGTGATATCGCCTTGACCTTCACAGCCTTTGATCTGGACGGTGTCATCACCACCACCCCAACGGCGAGCGGCAAGGTCATTGTCACGACCGTTCTCATAGGGGCTAGCGACGGCGGAAACGGCAAAGACGGCGGAAACGGCAGCAGCGATGGTAAAGAACTTCATTTTGGCTTTTGGATGGATAAAGGTAGTAAAGATTACTTGAGATGAGGAGGTATGAGTTGATAATGTCGAAAAAAGATCTGTTCAAAAAACCCTTTTTATATCTTTTTGACAGGCCCTTGATGCATTTTTTCGTAAAGTGGAGTAGTGTACATAACAACGTCGATTTCAGTGGTAGTACTATTATCAATGACCGCCGTTACTACATGCAAAACAATATTTCATTAGGAATTATCAGCGGTCTATCAAAAAATGATGCTTTAATTAATGTTATGCGATTTACCACAGTGTATGGATAAACAATGCACGATCTGTTGTACTTTGCTTTTCCTTTCCCCCTCTCTGTGATGATAAGAGAGTTACATGCGTGGTCACTCTCTTTGTTTAGTTCGAGTGAATATAGCGATAACAAAAGGCTCCATGGCTTTTTCGAATTGCTCTGCTGTCTTGAAATCAGGAGGAAGATCTCAATACTTGCCTTTTCGGAGTGTTGACGGATTGGTTTGATGACTGGACATCAAATCATCATCGTTAGGCCCCTGAGCAAAACTACATATGACGACTTGCATACTATATATGCACCTTGCTATCTGCTATTTCCTCAAGCATCCAATCAGTGCTGCTATTTACTTTGAAGTTGTGATTGGCTCTTAGCTGAGCTTCCACTAAAGATGCTCTGTTGACTATCACTGCTTCTGCTGTTACGTAAGCCACTGCTTCAGAGCTTTGTTACCTTCCAAGTGGCTCGACCGCACTCATCAACATATGCGGCGATCAAATGTATATCATATTCTGTAAATATTGACATTACTGAACTCGGAATATTATCCATCTTGATCTTCAGAGATACAAACACAACAAAATGTGCAATATCACAGAGGGGCTCCTTTTAGCGGACAGTGCCTTTATTATATCATTGTGTTGATTCGTGTAGGTTTTCTTTAGCACAATATATATCTAGCTTTTACAAAAGATGGTTTTCTCTATTAGACTTTTGAAGAATACGTATCGGATGAATCAGAGTACCGCGTCAAAGAATACATTGTGCTAGAAAATGACATTTTTAGGGGGTTCAAATTTCAGAGGGAAAGGAGGGAAAGATCGTCACTTGCATACTGCATATCTTCGCTACGTATACGCAACATGTCAGATCGCGTTATATATCTGCTGTACGTAAACTTGTCTTTCCGTATATTTGAGCCCTCAATGAGCACTTTTTGAACATGCAATCGAAACCCACGAGAACGGCGAACGCTTTCGTTTTATTTTGCCTTTTTTGAAGCGACCCATTTTTCATCTCCGCCGTCGTGCAGCATAATATATCTATGACCTACTGAGAGTACAAAACCATCGAATAGAGATGTCTTTAGCACTATTTATAAATGGTGCTATCATAAGAAGTAGCTGTCGATTTTTTAAAATACAAATCAATAAAGAAAGCCAGGCGCAGACGAAAGATGTATAGTAGTTCTCAACTAGTATCCTTTTCAAATCAATGTTGTGATTGACGAATTTAATTACATATGAATCAATGTTGCTTGATGGTGAAATTAAAAGAAGAGCTGATACAGTGAGAGAAAATAACTATAGTATCACTATGGACAACTGTACATTGTTTAAAGAAGTGCTATTACAACTGACAATAGAAGAAGTCGGTTTCACTGCGTGTTTGTCGCTTTTTCGTATCCTTCGCATATGTCTACAACAATGGCCGAAGATTTGACTTTAGAGACACTTATACAAACATCCTACACATCACCCGACGACGCATCTAATACTATGCAGCTATACGCACATCAACACGGGTAGCACGATAATATACCTAGCTGCTACTTCGTATGCCACCATAGTGGTATTGTTAGAGCAGTAGCACCTATTAAAGAGGGTAAGTATATTCAAGAAACGAAAAGCAATGACGAACCGATTTACTAATGCGCAAATTAAGTGGTTGCTAGCGACCAATATAATTAATTCAGGAAATATACATGCATCAATGGTATCATCAAGAGGTACTTTTAAAGGCGAACGACAAAACTTGGCGGTCTGGTAGTTTTTTGTTTCGGAAAAGAAAAGAGGTAGACTTTTCTTTCGAAAAGTACGCACCATGTTGGCTTATTTCTAGGTCACATCCATCCTATGAGCTCTGATAGAATAATTTATCACACAAACCGCCAGATGAATGGTCAAGAAAGGGCCGAGTCGTTAATGCAGATAGCAACATGCGTAGCACCGCGAGACAAGCACTAGAGCTATTACACAGCTCCGGAAGCATACAAGGAGCAAACAAGTAGTACTTATTCAAAGACATATACAACCTTCAACAGCATTACCAAGCATATAAAGATGGAAATATGTAAGAAATGAGGTCGATCGCCCAGTTTTTTTGTGGGTACTGTGTATATACCGTCCGTTATTTAAGAAGTAGATGCTTTATCAACGAGGGTCAAAAAGCTGATACTGGTGCCCAACAACGATCTATTGAACGAGCCTACGGTTTCCCCAGAAGTCATGCCGATCAATACAGTATACAAATCCAAACTAAATAAACGGCTGTCGTAAACGTTGTCGGAATCGATACACTGTGCGCTGAAAGTCGTCCTATCTTGTCGTATAGGCAATCGTTACAAACGAAATGACACTGTCATACAATTGGGTTCTCGAAAATATGCGTGCCGCTGTTTGGTGTTCGAAACCCGGGATCAATTCAAAGCTATTTGTTATAGACGATGACCATGGTCTGACGAATGCGTTAGCTGTTGACTATCTTGATGTGCCCCACATCTCGTGCGTTTGGTATATCAAAAAGGATTTAGAAAGCAAGACCGTTAAGGTTCTCAAGAAAGACCCGAAGGTACACGAGGGAGTTAAGGAGGATGTCATCAAGATGATTTGGAAAAAGGACACAGAGAGCTTTAATGAGGCGGTAGCGTCCTGGATTAGACGCCTGTCTATATCAACAAAGAAAAAATAAAAGTCGGTCTATGGCTGGAACAACTAGTTCATCTCTGGGCATGATCTACACTGAACATGCTGAAGGTATACATGTGACGTTCAACTTGATTTTTGGGAGAGGCTGGAATATTACTACTTTTTTTCCAAGCAATACACAGTATCTCAAAAACGCTCCAAGTAATCTCGACACTTGGTGTTGTGTCGAATAGTGTAATTGTTTCTAGATAGATTTGTACGCTTTCCGTAAAGGATCAATCAGCCGCTACACAGTATATCACAGAGTCACTTACTAGTTGGATGGTAAAAGATGCGAAGGGATTAGAGTACAAGAAGCTGGTCGAGCCAATGATATTTAAGGTATCATCGATTACAATTTACAAGACCGATCAGACATGTCCGTTGTAATTCTGGTTTGACGGTGGAGTCGACATACAAGTTGCCGCAAATACGTTCTCGCGACCTATTGCGTGTTACTCATCAGGGCAAGCAATTACGCCTGCCCCATGCGAGCCAAACTTGTATCTTCCTCACGCAGTCCCTGCTAATAAGCAATATGTATTAGCCAGCCATTATGCCTTTCGTACGAGGAAACCGTTGGGAGGAGATTTCGATAAAAATATCGATCAAAATGGAATGGCTACCTGTCCCAATGAATCGTAGACAACAATGGAATATATATAAGAGTCATTAGAAATCTCTGCATATATAGAGGCTTGCTAGCGGCCATGGCAGTTACATTTTAGTACTACTCCCAATATAGTTGATCCTGTTCCAACTGACACCAAAGAAAATACGAAAGAACTGCATGCATTTGCTGCTTCTACTAGCGAGAAAAGCAGGACACGTATAATCAAGGTAATGTCTCACAAGCAGTAAACTTAGGTCTAGTGATTGATATTCAATGCTAAAGCTCTCTCAATTGATCTGATTAAAGTATTATAGAGGATGCTTTACGAAGCCCTTTTTTGTGAAGAATCTCTTGGTTCACCAATGCCCCTTGCTGTTCAAAAGCATTACGACGAATATATTACAAAAGGACAGCAACACGATGGCCGCGATGAACCGTTTAGAACAGAGTTTAAAGCCGGCTTACACAATTTCCAAAACACCGTGTCCTATTCAAGAATCAAGCACTATTCTGTCAGTTTCACCGTGAAGAGTTGGTTATTTTGCCAGAACGGATACATAGCCAAGGGCTAGCCGACTGAACTTGACTTTGACTTACTATGAACACGTATAACAAGCATTTTTTCCGACATACTTGGTATCATACAAGTATTTAAAACAAGTCATTTTGGATCTGTTAAAAGAAAATTCTTTATAGAGCACGGCTCTAAGCAGGCAGATTCTATCATGGATCGCTTCTCCAGATATCATATCAGGTAGCGTCGGTATGTATAGATATAAAGTATATCTCCAATTGAAATGTATTTTGCATTGACAGTTATTGATGAAAAATTATGGTAACCAGACTGGCTACTATGTATGGAGCCGAAGGGGCGTTCACATATCGCCAGCTATCTCTTCATTTCCATCATATCGTGAGCATGAATATAAAAACACGCTCTGCGCCCCAAGTATGAGTCTACGCCATATTATTCAGCTAGATGTTATGCTTCACGGCATTTTATGAATGCTTAGATAGAAAAAGTCGGCGCGAAGTGAAACAGCAGCGTTACTGTAGCGATTATATTTAGTCGGCTCGTGAACTTACACAGAAGCCTGGCTTCACTTGATGAAAATGTCCAACTTTGGACTTTCATAATTTTTTTTTGGAGATAACTATTTTAACAATATAGCGGGTACAAACTATTTTTATATATAAACAGCATGCTCTACACTTTCTCTTCTTGAAAGAAACGATTTTGATGTTGCTTACATTCCAAAAATAGTCGCTCACACTGTGATGGTTTATGAGTTGCGCCATAGTTAGAGCGTTTTGTTTTTATCAGTAATGAAAAGAGTACCCTGTATTATTGTTGCTATTTAAGTAAGGTATTTATAATACTATACAGCTCGCCACCGCTTTCTGCAATCCCTCGAAGCAATATATAATTGAGCTCATTAACGGCAATTTGGGGCTACTGTAAACTGCTTTCATGTGTTACAAACTCTCGAATCATGCGGAATTTCGGCTATGCAAAAAAGTAAAAGTTGCTTTCTTGTAGTATAAAGTATCGCTAGCCAAGTTAAAGGTACTTCAACTTGCAAGAAATTAAATTCACAGCACATATCTTGTTATGTTAAAAAGCACCCAACGACGAACTGGAATGCGAAACTGAGTGTCACACCGCATTACTAGCATATAGGTAGTGATACAACACTTCACTGCTTTAAAGTCGCTACTAAGTAAGTTAATTTGGAGGCATTCTCTATAAAAAAACATCTCGAAAGGCAACCCTGACAGAAAAAAGACAAGGATACTAACAGTTATCATTTGAGTTTTCGATCAGCATCAGTATTGTAAGAATAGATCATGACGAGAGGTCGTTACCGCGACATAAATACCGATTATGCTTAAACATTAACAAGCTTTCTGAGCCCAGAAAGCGAAGCCGAGAAGCACTAATAAAATAAGCTTTGTTACGGGTTCTAATTCGTGAACAAAGTAAGATGGGGGATGAGTATCCAAAGAAAATAAAAACTAATGTTTGAACCACTGTATGTATCTCTCATGGGCTTTAACTTGGATGGATGTCTTGGCAAAAGTCAAATCCAGATCTTCATGACAAGCAACAATATTGAACCGCCGCCATTGCTGCTGCTGTTACTGTATGTACTGCAATGAATATCTATCCACCGTCTATTTCCGCTGTACTTCTCCCGGAATAGTAATAGTGCCATGACCGACAACAACGACAACAGTGCTGACACAAAAAGCGACACCATAAATGTGGGCGATCAACACCCCTTAAATTCTGACGACGAGAAAAAACGCGACGAAAAGCAGCAAGACAACAACAACAACGAGTCTCTCTCTTCTGTAGACATGACTGCTGCTGCAACACACAATATCGACCTGTCGTCGTCGGGTGAAGAAGAAGAAGGAGGAAAAGATGTAATCAGCAAGCCCATGCAAGACCTAATTGTGCAAGACCTCAATGTCAAAGACGAGTCGACCGAAGCTTGGAAAGGAGATCTAGAAACGTCAACCAATAACAAGAATCATCCCCTGGAGTCGGTTGCGGTCGACAATACCATAGTAGTAGACCCATGGGCTCAACAACAAGACCGTGACGAACAACAGCAACAGCAGGAACAAGAGGAGGATATTTCCTTGTTAGATAATGAAGAAACTCATGAGGTCGCGCCTTCGCCTCCCCCTCGCCCGACTGCTGCAACTATTGCTTTAACAACTGCTCCGGCAGCAGTCGCGCAGGTCGAAAATATGGATATGCATGAAGTTTTAGACGATGATACGTCCCATACCAAGGTAAAAGAAAAAGAAAAGGATTGATATTCGTGTGCTTTTTATTGACGTTGCCACACACGTACCCGAATAAAGGGCTTTCACAATACGGAAGATTCAAACGAAATCATCGACTTGCAAGTCATTGGCCAGCTTCCAGACTGGCTTGTCTGCGAGCACTTTACGGTTGGGCCCGGAACATACGACATTAAATATATGCGTAAAGTTGAAATTGACGGCGAACTGCAGCACGTGTCCAGATATTTTACTTTCGGCCATTGGTTTGACAGGTACACAAAAGAGAGAGAGCTTTAATGTATATAAAGAAGGAACCATTTTTTTAACTGGCTTTCATCTAGTCTACCTCTTGTCAACCGCTTCGACATTCACGGTCAACGGAACAGCATCAGCTACAGAAATCGGTTGACATGCCAACGCCTGATATCAAAGATCCGCGATAACCATGGCTACTCACCGCGTCATCCAGCTGGATTGTTCAAGACGAGCACAAATCAAACGGTCCTTACAAAAATTATTGGTGGCAGTGGTGGTGGTAATAAGGGCAGCAAGGCGGACGCAGAACCATGCGGTGCACGCATTCTATCCAATATTCCTGGCCTTGAAGGTCGTCTCTTTTGCCAGAACTTTGCCAATCATGTAAACTATCCAAAGTGTGTGGGAGGAAAGAGTGGAATCAGTTAACAACATGATTGAATGGTTCTAATACCTGTATTCACAAATCAATCATCAGGTTCAAGAGCTTGATCCATTCGACATGAAACCCACAAGACTTGTCACTTGGAACGAAATCAATCCGGCTTTTAAAGGATACAGCTCGTGTGCCAATGGCCTTCACGATCTTCGTACAGGAGAATATATCAATTTCACAATGGATGTTGGATATCAGTCGACACGGTACAACTTCTTCTCGATAAGTGACCGCAAGCCGAAAGGGTCTATTATTGGATCGATCAATGCTCCTACGTCTTTTGTCAACAGCTTCTCCATGACTCGAGGCTACATTGTTTTGGTAAGGGAAAAAGGGATGCTATAGGGTGGAAAGGTCGAGGCGGGATTTTCTTATATCAAAAACGTTGAGTAGGCGATTTTCCCTCTGCAAGCAAATGGAATGAAGTATGCATGGAGCGAGAGTATTCTCAACTCTTTCACATTCAATCGCTCCCAACCAACCTTGTTTTATGTGCTTTCGCGAGAGAACGGCAAACACGTTGCCACATTCCGTTCTGAGCCATGCTTTGCGTAAGTGCTTACATGACAATTGTTGTAGTTATAACGTATATCACAGAGGGAGGTCAAGAAAGAGTACTTGGTCTAATCGGGTGTCATTGGCTAGATTCCATCACGTCAATGCTTTTGAAGATGACAACGACAATATATACCTTGATATGATCTGTTATCCAGATGATACCATTGCACATCAACTGACGACAGAAAATCTGCGAAATCCATCCAACATGCGTCCCTTGCGCCTTGCAGCCTCTGAAGTGCGTCGATACGTACTGAATACAGTGTCATATTACAGCACTGGCAGAAACCGACAATCAGCTTCCAACGGAAACTCGGGTCTTTTCGGTGCATTCAAGCGCTCGTCAAATGCAGGGAGCTCCCACAGCAGCTTACCGGAGGCAGGCTATGATAAACTGTTGCCACCATCGATGGAATTACCTCAAATCAATCCCAACTACAAGATGCAAAACTACAATTTTCTCTATGGCCTTGGATTTTCGGCATCCAGTTCAATTGCAGACGGTAAAATCTGGGACAGTATTATAAAAATGGTAAGTGACAACTGCGTGATATAGAATGCAATGTAGGTATGTGCCACAGATAAAGTCTAACGTTTGCTTGCTAGAATGTCAATACACGATCAGTGACGGGTGCATGGTACGAAAAGGATTGTTATCCAAGCGAAGCAGTCTTTGTCCCGCGTCCATCGAATGGCCCAGAGGATGAAGTGGCAGAAGATGATGGTGTTTTGTTGAGTATTGTGATGAATTCTGCGCGTGCGACATCCTTCCTTTTGGTTTTGGATGCAGCATCACTTGCTGTATTGGCCAAAGCGTACTTGGGTACTTTGGTGCCTCTCAGTTTCTCTCGCGGCTCTTACCGGTTGTACACTCATTGAAATTCCATCCCTCATCTATACTACCTAGCATAATACCTGACCACCACACAACATACACACCCAATTCAAAAAGGTTATATAACAGTAAATGCAACTTTGCTCTCATCGGAAGAACAGAGACATACAATTCTTTTAAAGCAGAATAAGTGGGTACTAAGTAGCACGTGGCTATTATATGTTCTAGAAAGCTGATATGTGGACCAGCACCGTCAATTTAAGCATAAAGATAGATGCTGCCATCACTACATACTGCGTGATGGACGGAGATTTCAAGGGGGGTACTGGCTGGCTTGCAAATGTTTTGTTCAACGGATTAGGCAAGCCATCCCGGACAACAGACACCATTTCCATAGTTTGACAAGGGCAAACAATGTCCTTGTTTCCCTTTTCACACAATCAAGTGTCTATGCGCCCAATGGAACTTCCAAACATACTATGTAGTAGCGCATTCTAACAAGTGTGTGATAGTCTCACTAGCTGAGCAACATGAAATTCCATGTAATTATTACGTGCCTCCGCATTTGTTGCAACTTCAATCAACCCTGAGCCAAGGGCCTATTTGTTACGGATGATTGGACTAGGGTTGGGTCGCTTACGAGTAGTGTCATAGGAATTCCTCTCTCTTGTCTATTTTCTCAATCCACTCCTACGCTCTTTTCGGCCCTCCTCGATACATATCACCTGTATGCTTCTCTTTTTTGACACGATGCCGATAAGCACACTGGTACAAGAAAACCCAAAAAAAAAAAGCGCAGCTTGGAAAGCCGCGTATATGCCTATAATAGGGTCTGTGATATGACCTGGTCCCCAACCCACGCAATAACAAAAAAATAAATATTGAGACCGTCCCCCAGGCGACAAGACGTCCGGAACTGTAAACAACGGGCGGGCGGGGTGACGGTCGTACGTTCGCACTAGCAATGTAACCAATCTACAATGGAGTGACAAGTGTTCCCATGCTCATCAGCAATTGTCAAAGTACCTCAGTGCCAAGGGTTTCTAGATGGAGCAGCAAGGCAGATTCATAAACAAAGGTGTGTATAATACTCGCTAGAAGGAAAGGAATGGGCTGTGATTGGCTGAGAGGCAGGCGCAAAGCACGTCACAAGCAATTCACAGCCCGACGGACGGAAGCGGCCAGCCAATAAAATCAACGGTCGTAAGAGCTACTCTTTTTTTTTTACCTTGACCTGCTTGGGCCGCTCCTTTGCTCTCCTTCTCTCTCAATTTTTCTTTCTTTTTGGTATGCATCATAGAGGCTATTTTCAAAGGGTTTAATAACCGACTGACAATTTTTATTTTCACGCTCTCTCTCCCCGCATCGTCCAAAAAAAAGAGTTTTTCAAAGAAACAAGGAAAACCCAAAGGGGGGAAAACGAAACGGTAGGTCGACTTTTTTTTTTTTTTCTTTTTTTTTATTCCTCCCAAACTTTCAAAAAAAAAAAAAACCCTCCTCTACACTCTTGGCGGTGTGTGGTTTGTGACCGCTCTCTTTCCCCAGCTACCATACACGTACATGCCTCTTTCCCGTTTTATAGAGTCCCCCCCCACACACACACACACATATATATACACTCACATACGCACACCCCCGCCGTCCCCTTTTGACTCAAAACGTAACTTCTCCAGTGCGTACACACACACACACACACACACACTTTTGACTTGAACTCTTTTGCAATGTCGCTTTTCTCTTTCCCTCGCTTTCATCTCACGCTTTCCAGTACCACGTTGACCCTTTAAAGGTGTGTTACTCCGCCTGCTCCATCTGTATCTCTCTTTCACTCTCTTTTTCTCTCTCTTTCTTTTTATTTTACACCGCCGTTTATTTATTTCTTTTCTCTCTTTTTCGATAGCTATAATAGTTGCACATATCACAATAAAACTACACAAACGCACTGATCATGGCGAACGGAATTGATCAACACCAGTTACCCACCGAACAGCAACTGCTTCCCTTGGACTCAGAGTAAGTTCGACTCTCTCTCTCTCTCTCTCTCTCTCTCATATCACGTGTGAGAAAAACGCGTTTTTTTTTGTGTGGTTGTACGCGCGTTTCTTCTTTACTCTTCTGTTTTTTTTTATTTGCGCCGTCTTAACTTATTTATCGGTTAGACAAGGAAAGATAAGCGAAAAGCCGGCACCCGACCTCACTCCACCGCCACAGTCGCCACCGCCGCACGATGAATTGATGCAAGAAGCACAACAACCGCCATCATCACCATCATCACCTCCACCTCGACCACAATCAGAACGACCTTCAGAACCATCTCCAAAACCACAACAAGAGCAGCAGCAGCAGCAGCAGCCACAACAACAACCAGAACATCAGCAGTCAAAGTCTTTAGTTGATGAAGATGTTACAATGACGCCTGTTGAAGACCTTACTGCACCTGCTGAACCTGCTTCTTCCACTGTTGGTGACGTTGCAGCGAAGGACACCACCACCACCACCACCACTATTAATAACAATAATAACGGCATACCTTCTACGCCTACCAACAGTAGCACCAACCATGAACCTACCACTCCCTCATCGCCACAAACACAGAAACTCAAGAAAAAGGTAGAAATATTCAATTGACAACTGTCTTTGTTGCAGGAGGGCGGATATCTATCGTTATTTTGTGGAAAGAGGGGAAAAAGAGGCTGGTTGGAAGAATGGAAAAAAGCTAATAATGGCAAAACTGACATCAATCTTTCACCAGGCCAGAACCGCATCGCCTACCCCTTCGTTATCGCAGCAAACCAATACCAACATGTCACGCGACCAGATCAAATACAGCGGTGCCATCATGCGCAATCTCAAAAAACACAGAGATGCCGCTCCCTTTCTCAATCCTGTCGATTATGTCAAACTGAACGTTCCAGACTACCCCAAGATCGTCAAGCATCCCATGGACCTGAACACGGTCGACCGCAAGCTCACCGGTGGCGATTATGAAAATGTGGAGGATTTTATTGCTGATGTGCGTTTGGTGTTTAGCAATTGTTACAAGTTTAATGGTCCTGAAGCAATGATCTCGATGCTTTGTCAAAATGTGGAGTCTGCTTTTGAAAAGAGTCTTCGACAGATGCCGATATCAAAAGAGGTATGCCGATCTTGCTGTTTGTGAAGATGGATGGGGTAAAAAGGGTATGAGTACGAAATCTAAACAACATTGGGGAATGCTCTGTACAAAATGACAGCCGTTATCGCCACGACCCAGTCCAATGGCCGATGGAAAAGAAACAAAGTCAAAGCAAAAGCGAGCCCATTCTCCCACACAGACCATGCGTCGTATATCCGAAGACGGACGGCCCAAACGAGAGATCCACCCGCCGCCATCCAAGGACTATCCTGAACCCATGACCAAGCGCCGCAACCCACGAAAGAACGATGCACAAATGAAGTTCTGCACCCAGGTGCTCAGGGAACTGCGCAAATCAAAGTATAGAAACATCAACTACCCGTTCCTTCACCCCGTTGACATTGTCGCCCTCAACATTCCCGATTACCCGTCGATTGTAAAGCATCCCATGGACATGTCCACCATCGAACGCAAGTTGGAGGAGGGCGACTATGAAAACGCTGACGAATTCGAACAAGACATACGGTTGATGTTCCAGAACTGTTACCTGTACAACCCGCCGGTCACACCTGTACACAAGATGGGCAAGGAGCTGGAGAAGGTCTTTGATGAAAAGTGGAAGCAAAAGCCCGAGCCTGCTCCTCCAGAGCCAGAGCGACGCCCTCCTCCCCCTCCCCCTCAGCCAGTGAGAGAGGTGTTTGAGGAAGAGGCGGAATCGGAAGAGGATGGTAATTTATTCTTTCTTTGTATGGGGTCGATGTGTCCATTGCACAGAAAGAAAACTCATAGTGTCATACCACTCTCTAGAACGTGACTCAAGGATCGCTGAACTGGAACGTACAATTGCCACAATCACACAACAAATCCAATCTATAAAATCTACTAAGCCCAAGAAGAAAGCCGAACGAGGCACAACCAAGTCTGCTCGCGGTGGACGGCCGGCACAGCCCAAAGAGAAAAAGACACCTGCATCTGGCGAGAAACGTCGACGTCGACCCGTCCAGCGCAAGGAACCGGAGCTGCCAGAGTTTACATTCGAGCAAAAGAAGGATCTCAGTGAACGCATCAACAATCTGACCGGTGACAAGCTGAATACTGTGGTGAACATTATCCAAAGTTCTATGCCTAATCTGGATGGAGTAAGTAGATTCTGATTTATTACGGCTTAATAGGGATGTATATCAGTATGCTAAGTGTGGTTTGGTTTATGACTTGAATAGCAAGGACAAGAGGAAATAGTACTGGATATTGATTCACTTGACCGTCGGACCCTATACCGCTTGCATGAATTTGTCACAGGCAAGAGCATGCTGCCAAAGAAGCCGACCCAGACAAAGCGAGCACGGACACACTATTCCGAGCAAGACGCTAACCGCAAAATTAAGGAGCTTGAGCGGACACTTGAGAAATTTGACAGTTCAGATGGTAAAGATGGTAAAGATTGAAGGATCCAAAAAACGTGTTTTTGACGGTGGAATTATCAAAGGAGGGGGATAGTAAATTCATAAAAAAAATACTTTTTTATATAGCTCCAGGAGGTGCCGGTGATCCTGTCAATGCGGGTTCTGCTAGTGGCGGCCGTGGTCGCGGAAGCGGCAGCGGTGGCCAGCACTCGTCAAGCGAAAGTGAATCAGAAAGTTCGTCAGGATCAGACTCGGACGACTCAGGAAGCAGCTCTGATCAGATGTAGATACCATCCCACTCAACAACAATAACAACAACAACAACACATCCGTTGCTTAAAGAAGAGAAAAAAGCAAATACACACACATATTCAAGCACTTATTCACCACGCGCTCTCACACCTCGCAACTACTATCCACTACTATCACCACTACCACCACCTGTCTCTTCCATCTACACATACTTTTTTTTCTTTTTCGTCTTTCTACTACCTTTCTCTCTCATTCTCTCTCTTGAGTTTTCTCTCCTATCGTTCTTTTTTATATTTCTTCTATCTCGGCCAAGTTTACCCGTCTACTCATTTGCTCTTTCTAACAGATTGGAGAAAAACTCAAACCCCAATAAAGAAACAAAAAAAAAGAAATCAAAAAGACAAAAGAAATATATGTCCCGAGTTAGCAATTTCACAGAAAAGACTATTTGTAATCTATTAGTTAGCCCAAATTATTTCTTTTGAATTTTTGCTTTTGGAGAGGATAATGGTGGGGGGATGATTGATGTATACTTTGGTTTGGTAAAGAAAATAGTGTGCGAGTATATATGTTCGTATTAGAAGGTCTCGTCGTCATAATCGTTATGATCTCCTGGTATCTCATCTTCTGGAGGAACTTCAAACCCCTCCTAATATAAATAGCAAGTAATACGCTTAGTATACGGGGGTAATAAGCTCCCTTTTCAGCTATTCAAAGATTCTCACCTCTGTGCTATACAAGATCGCTTGGATCTCCTTCATGATCGGCAGCTCAACATGGCCTGGCTGCTGTTGCTCGGCGGCGTCAAGCTCTTCCTGCACTAAGATTTCAATATCACGCAACTTGCCAAAGTAAAAGTCTCGCTCCTTTTCCAGACCATCCACCGTCATTTTGAGTTCTGAAATCTGTTTGTTGAGCTCAATAATCATTGATGCCGACTGATCGGATCCACCGCCAGCTGAAACACGGCCACCCGTAGCAGTGCGGCTCGTACTGCGTACTAATTTCGACAGATGTTAGCATCAAACATCCCCGTTCGTATGATTCCTTATGCATGATTTAATTCCTGTCTTTACCAGTTGAGCCTGCACCAGCCGTTCGACGTGCACCAGCAGTCGAACGCATGCCGCTGCTAGCAGAAGCTGCACCAGGACCTCGTGGACCGCCCTTACGACGCGCCATTGGATCGTAGGCGCCACCGGGGAAGTTCTGATCCCAGTATCTTTTGATCCATTGCATGAACTCTAGATTGTCCTGGAACTTGCACTTCATCAATTTGTCTACAGGTACCACCTTATCGACTCTACAAACATATATGGTTCAATATCGACATGTTTCTAATCCTCTCTTTCTACCTTCCTCAGCCCCTTCCAATATGCTCATGCGTCCCTTGAAAACAAAGATACATACTTGTGCTTGTTGAAGGTGTGTTGGAGTACCTTGTAGTTGCCAACATATTCATACTCGTGCTTGGTGTCAAACTTGACCTTGTTCATATGGACATCGCCTTTTTAGAAACATGGTGCATCAGTTCGCTTGTCAAACGGACGCTTTTGTTCCATGTAGTTCTTTTCTGTTCTCTTCATCTCGTCATCTCGTCATCTCGTTCCAAAATTCTTACCAAAAATCGAATCCATAATTTGGCAGTACGCGGCACCTAATTATTTCAAAGAAATTTCAAAGAGTTGAGTCGAGTTTCTCCATCTTTCCGTTCAATACTTGAAGTTTCTCAAAGGAAAAGTCGAGAGTAGGGAGTTGGTGGGAAAAGACCCAAACAGTATAAAAAAAAAAGGAAGGGTCGGGTTAACTCTTGTTTTTTAAAAAAAGCATACCAGTGCCAGCGTGTTCAATCTTGGTATAATTCAAATTGCAAAGATCGTTAATCCATGCAAGAAGCTCGGTTCTCGATTCACCCATGATTTGTCTGTATAGATATTGGTGGTGGTAATAGAAAAAGCAAGAGGAAAGAAGAAAAGAGAAAAAAAGAGAAGGACCCTTTTGGTGTCGGCACTTTGGGTCGCCCCTGGTGGAATTTTTTTGAATTGGTGATATGGATGGAAGCTGTTGGTGGGTGTGGGTTCGGGTATACATAATGTGAGAGGGTTCCCGAAGCAGATGTGCGTGTGCTACATAGCCCATCTGTCACTGTCCTTGCTCTTTTCTATTCAAAGCAATTCCCTTTCCTTCGGTTGATACATACCCACGTGTCGACAACACGTTTTACACTGCTCTTACATGCTTTCTTTACCATTCAAACACGACCATTTTCCATGACAGCCAACTTCTCCCGTGCGGGAGAGGAAAACTCAGATCACCGACGGGGATGTATTCACTACTTGGATGTTTACTACTTACTGGCGTGTCACAACAGGAAAGAGATGTTTTTTACATATGACATTATACTGATATTTGGTCATAAATCTATCCTAAATATTGGATTAGCAGACTAGAAAAATTCTCCAAGGAGAGGTCGTTCTCATGGTAAACGCTTATGTGCGGATTGGGATGATGTGCATGTATGATAAATCTTTTGTGTTCAACGACAACTACCCGTGACCATCGTGACAGATGTTGTTAGTTATATAGCTAGGATAACACAGTTGCCATCCACTGCATAATTGCACGATCCTGCATTCTGCTCGGATATGTCTGTGCTCACAAACCATTATCAGATATTTACCTAATGCACTACCACTATTGGTACGAAAAACATATATGCAACATCAATAACATCTCCACATATTGTAAATCTCACTAAATTTATATGAGTACGTCTCATCTATCCATGAAAATTGCGGTACCCGACCGATTAGACAGCCACCTATTACATTTAATGCTGCATTCCTGAATTCCTTAAGGGTATACGGTACAAATAAGTTGAAACATATGTTTGATTCTCCCTTCCCCCTCCCGCCTCCTCTATGTTTGTCGCTATCATACGACATCCCCAGTTGATTTGTACACCTTAGATACCTCTGAATAAAGTTTCTTTACATGTAGACAACCGCAGGACTAGCAAAGTCTAGTATCACATATGAATTTGGGCACCATAGCAATTCCTAGACGTGAGGGTCCGTACCATCCCAGCATCCTTTACTCTTGGTTATCTATATAATCTTCGAGTGCGCTCTCATAGTATATTTAATAAGCCTAACTAAACTACTTGTATCAAATAATTCTTATTTTACTGTCTTACGTAAATCTTCACTAGATAAAGGTACTCAATGGCAAGTTATAGTAGTAGTAGCTGAAAAACCCCACCATCGAACTATGATATCAACGCGAAATATTGGGTCAAATACATAGTGCATACAACAGTCCAACATGTACCGGCCTCCCGCAAATTTAATAACAAAAGCATCATTTGTATCTTGTTTCAAACGATCGACAGGTTTACGCTGCATCTAGCGCATCATAATTACCTCGTGTAGTATCGCATCAATCAATCAAAAGACCACTACAGCTAAGTCTTACGTACTGTGCTCGAGCTGTAAAACATGAACCATACCATACGCCTTGACGCATACAAGAATTACTTCAAAATACAAGGGACCATATTGTGCAAAAGTGAATGCAATCCAAACAATTCAGATTCCTTTTTCCTCCTTCCTGGTGACGCGTTTATGTAAACGTCGAGTGTATGTTCAGCGTGTTGTCTCTGAAGGTCATACATATATACTACTATTTGCGCGCAAAAGAACGTGGGATACAAACACAGAGTTTCCACCGGGAGCTCTGTACCACTCTATGATCCCATTTCAAAGCCATACAACATTGTAGCCCACATGAAATATAGAAAAGATAGAACTTTTGTTGAATTACAATTTACAATACAAATGTACAACGAACGATGCCGTTCACAAGATGTTTATTCAAATAGAGATTGCGATGTTGTTGATGCTGTTGATGTGAGAGTAAACTTTTATACAGACACCACGACGAGGAGGCCTTGGTAATAATTTGAAAATATTTCTTAAGGCTGGACGGTGGGAGGAAGTCCTGTCGTTTATTTGGATCTGGCTCTCATCTTTCTTCTCTTGGCCTTGAGACGTCTTTGGCGCTTCTTCTTCCACTTATCTCTCACTATAAACGATGGATGAGTTAGATACCGGATGGATGCATCAATGGATGGATGGGATCTATGGGGTGGGGTTGGGTTCCATTTTTTGTATGGCCTTACTTTTTAAACTTTAAGGAGAAAGCTTAACGGGATTCCAGTTTGGCTGGGCATCCGCTCGCTTTAAGCTCAAATTTTGAGTTGACGTCATGCACATCTCCGAATCGCACTTGTCTTTTTTTTGTTGTCGCTATTTATTATGTATGTGACACAGAATAGGGCATATCATATACAGGATTTTTATAAAACCTCAAAGTCCCACTGCGTCCAGCGAGGTCCCCGGGAATTGAAACCCAACGGGACTTGGTCAATTTTTAAGCCAATTATCTTGCTCAAAGGGAATAAATAAGTGATCTATATTCACTCCAAATCCCCCAGCGTAAAGAAAGCAGTCCATACTGCATTACAACGAGCGGAAGCTAATCTTGTTGAAGGGGTTGCTCTTGAAAACTACCTTCACCATTTCGATTACTGAATCAATCTGTACATCTTTCTACGTGATGACCGCGAAAATCGCTATTAAAATGGTACACTAACTTAATGTTAGAATTATACACGATCCTTAAAACATATATAAGTACAATAGAGAGCAAACGGTTAAACGCCAGTGTTTCTCGCGTGTTTTTCTTATTGTAATAAACCTAGACAACAGATAAGCTACCATAGATACCCACTAGACGATCAAGATGATTGTAGAGAGAGAGAAACAATCTGGTAAAGTAAAAGGCGATCAATATCTTGTCGATATGAGATTCTCATTTGAGGACAGCACCATGGTTCATGACACCATAGAAGAAGCGCGTAATAATCAAATGCAACAATAACAGTCTGTATCAACTATGCCAGAGGGCAGTTTGGTGCTAATCTCTTTGACCACGGGTGATTTCGGTCTCTTAGAATTAGAACGCAAAAGAACACTGGCCACTCTATTATTTAGAGCATCAACGAGTTGCGCAGTTGTTTCACGTCGTCCTTATATAACATCATTGCAATGAACAGTCTGGTCTTAGACAACATAGAATGCAGCACGCACCATTGTCCTTACATAAAAATATGGTAAGCCATAGTACTCTTGTGATATCTGATATGATAGCTTTTAAATTTGAAAATAAATGCCTGCAGTCAGTGAAGCACATACTTATGCTACTGTTATCGATTAGTTGGTAATGACAATAACCATGCTTGGAAATTTGTAATGGCTGAATCGTTTATGTTATTGAATAAAAGAAAGTTGAAGCTGGTAGAAAAGAAAGGCGACTATGATCAATGAAGAGCAAAAGCAAAAATTGAAGGTGAAAAGAAATCTATAATATGTAGAAGAGGTGATGGGGAGGGAAAAGTTCAAAAGATATGATGCAAACGCATGTGAAATAACGTTAAGAAATGTAATGTGTATGTGTGCGTTGTGTAAGTGAGCTGGGATAGTAAAAGAAGAGAGAGAGAGAGAGCGAGAGAGAGAGACAGAATGACAAAGAGACACAACAGAGAGATAGCAGAAACAGCAGAGGCAGAGTGGTAACGAAGAAACATATAGATGATGGAGAGAGAGAGAGGTAGAGAGCAAAAGCCAAGAGAGAGAGAGAGAGAGAGAGAGAAAAGCGGAAAATATAAAGATGTGTGCGAGTGTGAGCATAGGAAAGCTAGGTATTGAAGAAAAGATCTGGGTTTTCAGCAATCCAATGCAAGGTTCTTTTTTGTCTGCTTCTTTTCGCTTCTAGGATTGTGACAGCTGCCTCGTTGGTCAGTCTGTGTTGAGTGGCATAATCTCTGATGTTATCGATGATTATACGTCTTCGGTTATAAAATCGGCGTTCTGACTCTGCTCGCCGCCACGCAACGCCGTGCTCGCGCTCCAATTCATCAACTGCAGGTGCACCAGCCAAGCCATGGTACCATTCGCGCCAAAGCATATCAAGCGTTACAGTATGGCGTGACATTTTGTACTCTGGTGCAGGCGGTGGATGAACTGATGATGTTGATGGTGATGCAGATGCGTGCGTCGCGAGTGCGATCCTTTGCACAGGTGGTGGTGGCGGGAAAAAGGGAAGAGAGATGGTTGCTGTATCCTGCAGCGGTTGTTGTTGTTGTTGAAGTTGTTGCTCTGCTGGCTGCTGCTGCTGCTCTGGTTGCTGCTCTAGTTGCTGCTGTTGAGGCTGTTGCTGTGATGGCTGCTGCTGCGGTTGCCAATGTTGTGGTTGCCGTTGTTGTTGCTGAGATGCGTTGCCAAGGTTTAGCGTCAAAGTCAAAGGCACCTGTCCAGACGTGTAGCTTGTTAGCTGCTGCGCAAATGTAGCAAGGCTGTTGATATGCGGAACAAGCGCTTGCAAAGGTGTGATGGCAGACAGCAGTGACTGGAGGACTTGCATGTGAGCCTCATGTTGCGCTTGTTGGTGTCGAGCTTGTGCCTCAAAACGCGATGCGAACTGATGGTTGAGATCAGAGAGTTGATGTGCGATCTCGGGAACTGTCCTTCTTAGTCGCATCTGCTCCGGCTCTTCTGTCTCTTGTACAGCCGCCTCAACAGAACTAACAAATATGCGTTAAAAGAATAAGAATACACTTTATATGATTCTCAATATAGTTACCTTTCGAACTGTTGATACAACTCGCTTTGGAACAAAGGATGGTTCCAAAGATAATACTGAGGATACGTTCTCTTCAGAAGAACGGAATCCTGCAGGAAGACAGTACGCAGCTCATCCAATAGCTTCAAAAACATGTCGGCGGCACAAGAGACTTCTTCAACTCTGCCTTCATCTAGCCTTTGACGCCAGTAATTGACAAACTTGAAGAACTGCTTGCACAATTCTTCGGGTTCAACGTTGGCCTAAAGAAGATAATAAAAGCCACGTTCTTTTTGGAAACCTACTAGAGTTCGAAGGAGTTCGTGGGGGAGGTTGGTGAGGTAGGCGGTCGTCAAAGAGCTGGTGTTCCAACGTCCTGCACGACGAATTGCGCCCTCGCTCGAGCCACCAATCTCTGCCATCCGAGCAGCGGCGCCATGCATAGTATGTGTCTTGGCTTTCGAATGAAGCGAGGCTCCCTCGAAAGCCTTGGTGATTGCTTTGAGGTGCTGGCTGTATGACATCTCCTTTTCAAGAGCTGTCGGCGACGCCTTGATCACTTTGTGTAGGAACCAGTCCACGTTCTTGTTGACACCCGGAAATTGCTCCCCGGTTATCTCGTAGCGACTGAACAGATAGCAAGCGAGCATCATTTGCGGACAGATGTTGACGTTTTTGTTGCGCATACAGCCAGCAACCTCCACACGCCCAAACTTGTTAGTCTTGCCTTGCTTTAAAACCATTACGAGGGCATGGCAAGGACTTGAACCTTCATCCTGTAGATGTAATGTTTGCAAATCTGCAAACTCCATCTTTCGAATGCTCTCGCCACGAAGCAAACCGTAGTGCTGCAAAAGGAACGCGGTGCCGTTGCGGAGGCCGTTTTCAGTTCCCTTTGCCCAGAACTGCTCGACGATCTTTTCCATCTCTGTATGAGTTGTGTATCCGTCTGCTGCAGTGAAGGCACCCTTTAAATGAAAAGCAGATCTGTTGAGTTACTGTGCTATTAAACATCAATGGCTTCTTTAACTTACTCTATCATCGAAATTGGCGCGAGCAATCTTCTGATCCTCTCTGCGCAACCAGTCGAGTAACGCTTTAACACGTTTTCCGCGAGGGCTCGGGCGGAAAGTGTTGTCGACTAAGCATTGTTCGGCCCATAGGTCGACAATTGCAGCAGCATATGCTTCGACAGTTGTGTATCGCACCCTCTTTCCAGAGACGCCTGCAGCAAGTTGAGCATACGCTGCGAATTCTGGATTAATGAGCGGCTCGATAGTGGAGGAGGAGGAGGAAGCGGCAGCGGTAGTGCTATTGGTGGTTATGGTCGTGGTAGTACCAGTTGTGTTGATGATGGTGCCGATGGTAGAAGCGACCGTTGATGCTTCTCTGGCCTCGTCCATAGTGTCCATCATGTCCATCACTTCGTAAGCTATATCGACATTGGGCAGTGTGTTGAGCTCTGTAATGCCGTCAGACAAGCTATTCGCGGCAGCAAGTATAGGTGAAGGTTTCACTTCAGGCTCATGAACGTCCTCAGATGCAGCTCTTTTCTTTCCTCGCTTTCGGTGAGCTCGGAAAGCAACCTTATAGAAAGTTATGATCATTAAAGATTGTGTTCATTTATCTCTACGTATTTATCGCGAACAAAGAGAACCAACCTCTTCTTTCAAAAAAAGGTGAAGTTTTCCATCGTCAGGGATGGGACTCACACCCATCTTGATACACCATTCTTTGAACTCTTTTTGACGGTTCGAGTACTGATTAATGATGTTTGCAGGGCGGCTTTCACGAGCCAGCCTAAACGTCTCGAGGGCAGCGCGATCTCTGGCCTCTTTGTAAGCCATACCTCCATCGTTTTCGACAGTCACTGCAGCAGGTTCAGCATCGTTCTGCAGAGACAACTCGGTCAGAGCGAAATCTATGTTTCTGTTTCGACTTTGGGCAGGAGTACCATTAAGCTGTCTTCGTCCGCTTCCAGAACCACCCATAATTACGGAGATATGATATGAAGAGTCAAGTGTGTTTAGTCAAGGAAAGCCAGGTGTGTGATAAACGCGGGTAGATAATAAGAGAAAAGAGGTTAAATAAGATAATATGAAAATACAGTGAGAGTTGATTGTGAGATTTTTTTTAATGAATTCACAACCCTTTATATACTGTTGAAAGATGCGGTCAAGACTTCCGTTTGGATGAACTGATGATTGGATCGCGGACATGGCGAATTTCGGATGTTTTAAAGATGAAGAAGGATAGGAAGGTTGAGTTTGGCGGCCATGATGAAGGGCGTCCTACTATTAGTTGTCTAACCAATTATAATCTACTAGCTGTAATATAGATAATAAAATTGCTATGACCGGTATAACCATCAGTAGCCAGATTAATTATTGATTTACAATAAAAATAATAAAAATTGAATTTTTTTATTTATATTGGTAGCCTCCCACGAGAAAAAAAAGAGCGATTGTTTAAAGTACATAACAACAAATAAAAATGAACACAACACAACACACTGAACAACTCGATATTGAAATTAAAAATTTAATTGATAATAAATGGACTTTTCTTGATAAATCTTAGCCTGAAATGCAACATAGATTTAATCATAGAACAGCTATTAAAGATATGAAGAATAATACAATAAATGATATAAAGGATGTATTACTTAATAGATTTGGATTTATACCTGTATTTTATTTTCTTATAGTTTTATATGGAGATATTGAATATCCAGGGCCATACTGCGAGATTGAAAAAGGACTTGCATTATTATATCATATGGTATCAGGTGTATCAGGAAAGGATATGCATACTGTTATGCCATATGCAACATTTTATGATTTATATAAGCGGTTCTGGATTACTAACTATAATGAATTGAATAAAAAGGTAAAACAAGATCTAGATAGTATGTTCTCATCACCACGTATTCGCATTCTATCAGCAATAATAAACAATCCAGATGGTTTTAAGAATGTTACACTATTTATTGATGGACATGATAGTAAAATAAAGTATTATAAACCAAATGAGTCACATTCACAGTTATATTCATATAAATTAAAAGGGCCAGCTGTACGTACACAAGTTATACAGGATATGAATGAAATAATTACACATGTTTCAGTATCTGAAAAATGTGCTACCGGAAATGATGGTACTATGTTTATTAATATGAAACTATATAAAAAAATAAGTGAGGCAGATTGTTTAGGAATGGATGGTGGATATAACTTATTTATACAAAAGTTTAAAGATAATGCGACAGATGCTAGATATAGTTTTTATGATCGTAATTTTTTACATCCCATAAGAAAAGAACCAGGACAAAAGTTAACAATCAATGAGACATACTTTAATAACAAGTTTGGATCATTTCGTTCAGCAATAGAAGCACAGTTTTCTATGTTAGGCTCTAAATTTGAACGATTTAATAATAATCGTGCAGCATTGCAAATATCTGATATAAGATATTATAATATTCAGTTTCGTGTTGCTTGTATTCTTACTATATAATATATGGCGATTTGTAAATAAGTATAATATAGAGGTAAAACCACATCATAAATTATGGTATGGAAAAGATTTTGAATTCCCAAGTAAGAAAAACAAACTTGACTTAGTATTTTCAAATGAGCAAAAAGTAAATACTGAATATAACGAAATGGTTGATATGCAGCAGAAATTTCTACAGCTTAACATTAATCAATCAATAGATATGGCTATAGATAGTGAGGACGAAACTGAAAATAATACATCTAAGCGCAAGAGAAAAAATCAAAGAGAACAGAGAAATATAGAACATAGTAATTCATATGAAATTGAGAAGATTGTAGGACATGTGTATACTGATAATAAGTACATATTTGAGGTTAAGTGGGTTGGATATAGTGTAAAGGATAATAGTTGGCTAACAGTTGATAAGTTTAATTCCTGGGAAATGCTACATGAATATATGGCCATACATGGTATTCAGCTCTAAATTAATTTCTTACTTATTTGCTTATTAAAAAATCTCATATTGAAACTGACTGCATCAACCTTTCGTTTACTTGCCCATTTATATTTATGTTTTATGCATTCATTAGTTATACTTGTACTCATATTAGTACCTGTTGATTTATTTTTGACGTCAGTTTCTTTTGTTATATCTATATCATCTATTATAGCCTGTTTTATATCCTTATGCTTTTTAAAATATTCTTTTGGCTGTATTTCTTCTACTATTTGCTTGTTTCTCCGTTTATTTTTAATGTGTCTTTTTTTCTTTTTACGTTTTGGTATATTATTTGGTATGTTGCAGTCACTGCTTTTCTCTGATTCAGATGTACTTACATCTATGTATTTATGTTTCTCTATATCTTCTGGTAGGTTTTCCCAATCAGTAGTATCATTTACAACATCATCACATTTTATATCATCAAATACATCTTCCCAATGCCTACAATCTACTGATGATGGTACCTTTACAGTTGACCATCCTCTATTATTTTGTTGAGGCGGTTTATGCTGTTTATTGTTCTGTGTATTATTACTATTATGTTTTTCTTCTTGTTCCTTCATATATTCTTCTGTGTCAGCTAATTCTTGTAGTTCCTCTACTGTTTTATCCATCGGTGTATATTTTTCAATATCATCCTGACCACTATTATGCGCATAACGGATAAATGTATGCTGATCTTGGTATTCGTTTTCGAATTCACCACCTTTGTATAAGTCCTCATACATATCCATGTTTTCATAATACATAAATTTATTTTCATAATCCTTCACCTTCATTGTGTATGGATTCCATATTATATGACCTTTACGGTTCTTATCAACATAGATAATATATAAACGATTGAGCGTTGGCTCTAACTCATATACTGATTTGTTTTTGTATAACATGTGCAGCATATAGTTACTATTCAGTATTATTGGCATATTTTTCTTTTTAGTTATTGAATTTGTGAATTTGCCATTAAGTTTTAACTGCGTTCCTTCTAACATTTGGTTTAAAAATGTTAATTTGAAATCAGAACCTGTTTCTTCATTATACATAAAATCATAATCATCATCCTTATAATCTGACCAATCATTTTCTTTATTCATTAGATATGCTCGATGACCACCTTGTTCTAATACATCAATGTTATATGTCTTACCTACATTTGATGAACCTACAATCCAGTATTGTGGTATCTTATTTTTACCACCAAACATTGTTTCAATACCAAACATAGACCACATATGTAATTTATTTCCAGGGTTATTTTCCATATCGGCATCATGAAAGTAAGAATTTAAATTTGATTCTACAGTATCATATTTCCATAGCAATTCTGGATATATTTCGGTAGCCTTCTGCATATTAAGCTGCTTAGTAATTAATTGATATCTAAGTAACTGTTGGTGCATTTTTCTGGTTTTAATTTCATAATTTGGATTATTATAATAAATATAATCTTTTCCTTTCATACAATAGCTAATAGACTTTAGTGGATTACCACCTGGTTTAATATTTGGAGTAACACCATCAATAGTAAAGAATTTTCGTGCTGTTTTTGTGTCGAACCGCTCATCCATTTGTATCCATATATATACATGTTTCTCGTTGGTTTCTGGTGCAATTTCATCACATGCAATTGCCTTTTCAATTCGATAACCAATACGTTCATGTTTTATAAACCATCCCATGATTTGATCTTTTGTTAAATGGAAGTCCTTACAAATATATGTGAACAGCCCTTTAGTGTTTTGGAATCAGAATTCTTTGCCGCCCTGTGAGGAATATGCACCAGAGGTGTTACCCTCTAACATTATTGCATCGGAAAATTGAGGAGTTGAGGATTTGAGGAATCTCACATATTCTCGAATTCTTCCAATTATTTTATTGCATGCATTATCTTTAGTTTTTTTATCTACTTTAGTCTGTGTAAGGTCTTTTTCGAGTTCTGACCTCAGTTGTGTGACAAGAGGTTCATACTCAATATGCTGATGGTTTGTAGCAAGGTGTTTTGCTCTTTCAATTAAGAGTGTCAATGTAATTCCTAAATAGGAACAAATTCAGCCATAATGGCTAAGAATGCGAGAAGGTTGAGTTGGTTCATGTTGATTGTTGAAGTAATAAAAATAAAAAATATAACAAATATATTTTGCTTTATATTCTGTGGTATTATTTTTATATTAAAAAAAATTCAATTTTTATTTTTTTTTAAAAATTTAAATGTATGCATGCCAAGACATTCCTGCATGAATTATTTCAATAAAAATTAATTTGGCTATCCTGATGTATCTTAGCTAATAAGTCATCTAGGGTTACTAGATCGCATTAAGATCATCATAACCATAGCCGGTCCCCTATGAATGATATGATTATTTATACTTCTAAAAGTGACTTTTGTTCTGATAGCTCAGATGGTAGCATGTTTTTAAACATGAAATTATTTAAACATATGCATGAGAATGACATAATGGCAGTTGATGGTGGATATACTTTATTTATCACGCAATTTACAGAGCTTGCTAATGAAAAAGGATATAACTTTAGCCATGATAATTTTGTATACCCTATACGTAAAAATGTAAATGAGCCCTTAATGATTACTGAAGATCATTTTTAATAAAACATTTGGAAGTTTTAGGACAAAAGTTGAGAATCAATTTTCAGAAATTGGGAATAAATTCTGCCGATTCAATAATAACAAGTCAGTTGTTAAAATAGATAACATAAAATACTATAATCTGCAATTTTGTGTAGCTTGTTTATTAGAAAATATTACAAAATTTGTAGAAATGTTCAATATTCCTATTTTACCACACCATAAACTATGGCACAGTAATGATTTTGATTTTCTAGTAGAGCATAAACTAATTGATATAGTGGTCAGCAATAATAAACAAAATAAAGATAAACTGGATAAAATGATCAGATTACAAATGACCTGCTTAATATGGCTATATCAAATGAAGAAATGATTGTTGATAATGAATCTGATAATAATTCAAA